GGTCGTGGCTGCACGCGTTTACGAGAGAACGCGAGGACAGCGGCTCCTAGGGGCTAAGGTGCGTGAGTCCCTTCGAGTGAAAAATCAAAAGTTGATTTCCTGGTGTGCGGAGATGCGCGGTCCGAAAGAAAGGGGCTCTGAAACCAAGTGTTACGGGTGCAATGAATCGAGGTAGCGAGAATTGCACTAAGGTGTCAAACGAGTACAAAATGTGAGCGAAGGCATGAGCGAACATTTATACGCGAAACATGCAAAACGGTAACGCGGTGCGTGCGAGCTTGCTAGTGCTACGCTGGAGCGAGGCTCGGGCTAGTCCCGAAGCGTAGGCCGATACGGCCATGCCAGCAGTGCGAGGTTTGGCAAAACAGTGCGCGCGAAGTCGGCGAAGTTCCGTTAGCAGTAACGGGCGAACAATCGGCTGTTGCTGTACGCGATGTAGTCGGCTCCGTAAGGAATGCCGAGAAAATTCCTTACACTAGTTTGTTTCCAGTTTTTGGGTAATTTTTGTGAACAGTGCTGTTCCCCGTCTTTTGGGGAGGAAAATCACTGTTCACATCAGTCAACCGAAAAGTGCAAACGAAGGTTCCTACGCAACCCAAAGATGACATGCGGTTCCACGTGGAAGCACCAGTGCTAATTTCCGCGTCCCTCGGTCAGTTGTGATTGCTGGAGCGTGTACACAAGGAAGTTCCTGGGGCCCATACTTGCGCTCCCCAGCTCCTCCCCATCTGACCCTGTTTTGGGTGTAGCTGAGCGTTTGGGCGCCTTTAACGGTCACGGGCGCACCCCAAAGTGAAAACTTGAAATCAGGGCTTGTGAAGAGTTTCCACTTAGACGTGAAGGGAAAATTCAAGTGCTCCAAGCTGACTTAGACACTTTATAAACACAGGATTGGTTAGAAAACGCTAAGTGAAAAATCCACTCCTCTCGTGCAACCTACGGTAAGGAGAAAGAGTGGGGGGGGGTCAGGCAGAATTTGGGGGGGGTATCCTACCACCGGAAGCCAAAACTTTGAGACAGGGGAAGGCCTGGTTTGGGCACTTGACGCATCCGGGGTGGGTCGAGCGAGGCACTTAGTGGCACGGGTGCTGTGCGGATCTAACACTTTATGCAGTCGAGCTGGAGTGAAAGTAGCCCAGAATGTTCAGGGCATTAAGGGCATATGCCCTTGAATCGACAGAGCTGGTGTACACATTCTGCCGCGGGCGTAGACCTGTTGCCTGAATTTATTTCGGCCAGCCAGCGGCTGCCAAATCTCATCCCAGCTGTTGCAAAATTCCGAGAGCGATGTAACGATCGAATCCCATGACGAATCCACGAAATCGGACCCATTTGCATGAGGTCGATTCGTCTGTGTACGCCATTTGCTCGTCGCCATGCGGCGTGCCTGTCCCATTGTAATTGCGAAGACGCGGTTTTCGCTAGCCGCCCTGCGAAACAAGTAGGCACACTCTTTGACGACGAACAGCCAGTCTCTCACCGCCTCCGCCTGCGATAAATGCGGTGATTCGGTGAAGCGTAACCGTTGGCAGCTTCGCTGTGTCCTGCTGGATTACACCTTCCAGCCGCGCTTGACTGGAGGGGAGGCCTGCGAAAATTCGTTGACTCGGAACGCGTTCTCTGCGAATGTTGTTCAGCTCGCCACCGCCCAATCTCCATCACTCGTCTGGGGCAAGGGTGAGAAAAGAGGGGCAGGTTGTTACCTGACGCTTCGTCAACGTCGACTTTGAAAGTGACGAGGAGGGTAGAGCAAGTTTGAAACAGGGAGAAGATCAAATAGGGGCCGAACAATAGCAGGGAGGTGACCGAATTAGGGCCGGGTTGATTCCAGCCGTCGGATACACCCCCGGGGCTCCCAAAGTGGCTGAGCCGAGAATCCGAACCAAGATAAAAAGAAAACTAATTATTGCTGAACTTTATTGGTTCAATGATGTTTTCATGGTTATGATCGCCGCCTAATACCAAGCTTGCGTCGCATTCCACTGGAAGTAGGGTTTGTCATGTTTATATCTTTGAAAAATGAAATCGTGATCGTTTTCTAAAAAATTACATCACTTTCGCTGACCTAAATAATAAAACCCGTTCGGAAATGGATGCGACTCGGTAGGCATCAACCCTAAACACCAGGCGGGTTCCCGTGTTTAGGGTTGATCCAACCCGAAATTGCGTCTAGGTTCTCTATTGGTTTTAGTTTTTTTAGGCTGCCCTAACATTTCCTCGGTAGCGTCGGTAGCGCTACCTGGCTCGCTAAACGACGCTACCGGATGGAAAAAATGATTCATTTACGATATCCTAGGAATATTGAGGTGTGAGCGAAAATGCAAGCCGTGACGAGCCTCTCTGTTAATTCCTCCTCGCGCAGCGGTCTGGTCAGTTTCGGGCCTCTCGGCCCCTGGTTTATCACCGCTCTGGCACTGTTCGGCCCCTCTTTGATCATTTCCCGTTTGAAACAAGAGTTGCTTCAAAGCAGACTGCAGTGCGAGCTTCTAGCGTGTACAGTACCCGCTTCTCCTCTCCTCCCCCTCTCTGTACAGAGACACACAACCTGCCACTTACCCCACGCGCGGAGGCTAAATGCAGCAAAACCCTACAGGGAGCGACGACGCAGCAGCGCATGTGGTGCTTATTTGCCGCGAGCGACGAGACGAACGGAGAAAGTTTGCTCCGCAAGGTAAGCCGTCTGATCCGGCCGGACGCTTCAATGTCGCAACGCGGCCTTGTTTCATAGTGGCAGAGCTGCTGCATCAGTTTCTTACAGTCACGCGCATCCGTTGATCGCCAGTCTCTTAACCCTATCTCGACTTGGTTATTTTCACCGTTTTCCAATTCGTGTGGCCTCTTGCTTATCTGGAAATAATTTTCAGAAGTGTGATGCAACAGGCTTTTTCTAGAGCTCTGATATTCGCTTCCGAGATGGATCTCGCAAGTAAAGACTTCGGCGATCAGCCCAACCGACATTGTTCAGATATGGCGACCAGCTCCTTCGCAGACGAAATGGAGGCCGTCCGATTGATAGGAGATTATCAAGCGTATAGAAGCTTCGAGGATGATCTAGCCGTTGATTCCAGGCACTACTACGCCGGAGACGCCGGGTACTCCGATATAGGCGACCCGTTAGGGACGGATAGAGACGCCATGACTCGCGGAGATGGCGATGCGGCGATGCAGCGAGATATACAGATGCGCTCTGCGCAGAACATGCAACTGCAGATTCAGCAGCAGCAGCAGCATCAACAACAGCAGCTACAGCAGCAGCATCTACAGCAGCAGCTACAGCAGCAGCAGCATCATTATCAACAGCAGCAGTTACTGCAGCAGCATCAGCAGCAGCAACAACATCTGTCTTCCCTCGCCTCCCACCCCGCCGTCCCATCCGTTACCGCATCCGAGCCTCCTTCGTCCATCTCATCCTCGTTAGTAGCTGACGCGAAACCGTCGAATGATATCAACTTCGAGCGCGCCGGCGAAGACTACCGGCTTCAACTAGCCCTCGCGCTGCGCCTCGCCGCCGAGGCGTCGTTTCTAGACGAAGCCAGCGAGAGGCGACGCGGGTCCGGGCGGGCAGGTTTGGACTTTGCGGAGTTCGACGCGCGGGGTAAGGGGGTGACTGGCGCGGGGGATAGGCGGAGGGGGGGCGCGCGGAAGGCGGGGAGGGACGACGGGAGTGTCGCGCGGGGGAGGGAGGAGGACGAGCGGCGGCCGGGGCATAAGCTGCACCCCTGGGAGCTGGAGCGGTGCATCTTCCGCTTCTGGGTGAGCGTGAAGTTCCGATCACCTATGTCGTGTACGCGTTTTAGTGTGATCTATCGCATTGTAGTGTACCCTGTTAGTAGAAACTGTGGGTGCATTTTCCCGGTTCTGGGTGAACGCGAAGTTCTGATCACCCACGCCCGCGCGCGTCGAGAATGCGTGCGTTGTAGTGCAGCTCGTTTGCGTTGTATTGCACGCTGTTGCAATGAGACTCTGTAGCATGCGTCATCTCGTCTGTCCCCCCGTTGTGTCATCTCACTGGAGCGATGCTTTATTTGATTCAGGGCGAGCGCAGATAGTCCGCTGCGATCGCAGTGCCAGTTTCGGCGGTGTTGTGTGGGAATGATGTAGTTAGGGTTAGCAGCTGCGTACCATACATGCGTGCGCGCGACTAACTCGTGCGGGCCCCGCGTTCCCCTCATTCCCCTCATTCCCCTCATTCCCCTCATTCCCCTCATTCCCCTCATTCCCCTCGTTCCCATCATTCCCCTCATTCCCCTCATTCCCCTCATTCCCCGCATTCCCCTCATTCCCCTCATTCCCCTCATTCCCCTCATTCCCCTCATTCCCCTCATTCCCCTCATTCCCCTCATTCCCCTCGTTCCCATCATTCCCCTCATTCCCCTCATTCCCCTCATTCCCCGCATTCCCCTCATTCCCCTCATTCCCCGCATTCCCCTCATTCCCCTCATTCCCCGCATTCCCCGCATTCCCCTCATTCCCATCCCGCACATCTAGGGTTCGAATCACAAGGCCTTTTTTTATGTGCGCTGGTAATGCGCGCTTTCGGGCCATTCACGATTGGGATTTTGCTTCTGATATCCTCTCTTAGAAGGGGCGCGTTAAGAGCCCTAGGAGCGACACATCTGCCAGCAACACCAGCGTTTCAGAATCTTCGAAAGACGAGGCCCCAATTTCTCACGCCTCCGTGATACCCACCCCCTCCGAACCCACCCCACCCCAGCGACGCGGGGGATTCGCTGTTCTACGGGGTATTCGGGTCAGACTGAACGCCAAGGTGTGGGGCGTGTGAAGTCAGTGCTCTCATCCCCTCCCCACCACTCCCCACCACTCCCCACCACTCGCCAGACGACCCAAGTGTTGGATTACAGCAACGCCAAGGTGTGGGGCGTGTGCGCGTGAACACGTCAGTCTCATCTCCCCCACCGCCGTCCACCATTTCCCATCACTCCCCACCACCCCCGTCCGCCGCTCCCCACCACCCCCCACCACTCCCCGCCGTTCCCCAGACCACCCAGGTCCTGGAATACAGCGACGCGGCGGATTCGCGATTCTACGGGGTGTATGGGTCCGCGCTGAACGCCAAGGTGTGGGGCGTGTGCGCGGAGGCGCGCGGGCAGGGCCACATGCCGACGCTGGAGATGCTGCGGATGCTGGCAGCGCATGACACGGCGGTGGACGTGGTGCTCGTGGACTTCGAGGAGGACAATGGGCTCAGGAAGCTCGTTGCCAGGCTGGCAGCGGGGCGCGGGAAGCAGCAGGGGCAGCACGGGCAGGGGGAGGGAGACGCGGGAGTGAGGGCTGGCGAGCCTACAGCCGGTGATGTTGCAAGGTAGGTGGAATGTGGTGGGGTGGTTGGTAACTTGGGTCTGCTGGGTGTGGTAAGAGGGTGGGTGTGGGAGAGGGCGGGCAGGGCCACATGCCGACGCTGGAGATGCTGCGCGCGCTGGCGGCGCATGACACGGCGGTGGACGTGGTGCTCGTGGACTTCGAGGAGGACAATGGGCTCAGGAAGCTTGTTGCGAGACTGGCTGCTGGGCGCGGGATGGCGCAGGGACAGGGGGAGGGCGAGGGGGAGAGGAGCGGCGAGCCTACGGCAGGTGACGTTGCAAGGTAGGTGGAGTGTGCTGGAGTGAGTGGGCTTGCTGGGTGTGCTGGGTGGCTTGAGTACGAGGGGGCATTACGCACTGCAGTATCACCTGTTCCCATGATCCCAGCCAGTGTTTTTTGAGAATTCTCAAAAAAGCTTTATGCACTGCAGTATCACCCGTTCCCATGATCCCAGCCCGCCCGCTGCCCTATCACCCTTTCCCAAATTCCCCTTTATCATCCCATCCCTTGAACTCCACCCTCCAATGTCTCGTTCCACTCTTTTGCCATTCCCCTCTCCTCCGTCCGTTCCCCCTCCCTGCATTTCCGTCTCTCGCCCCTCCCTCTCCCGCCCCTGTCCATTCTCATCTCTGTGTGCGCTGCCAGGGTGGTAGCAGAGGCAATGGGCGGACCAGTACCCAACGACGAAGAGATCTATGTGAGCCACTCGCCCACTCCCCTCTCCTGCTGTCTTCATTTCGTGTGATAATCAATCTGTTTTGATACGTCTCGAAACGATTCCTCCTATCTGGTAGCAGAGGCAATGGGCGGACCTCTCGGCCCAACGACGAAGAGATCTATCTATGTGAGTTCCTTGTCGGTCATAAGATTGAAGAAGGGTTTTAAGACGTCTCAAAACCCTTCTTCAATCACGTATCTATGTGAGTTCCTTCTCGGTCATAAGCTCTCCATTCCCTTCACCTCAAAGCAGTTATAATTCTCTCCACATAAAATCCGCGTGAGTCGAGACGATTTTTTAGGCGCCTCAAAAAGGACCTCGGCCCAACAACGAAGAGATCTATGTGAGTTCCTTCTCGGTCATAAGCTCTCCATTCCCTTCACCTGCTGTTTCCATTCCGATCCTCCGTCTTTGTCTCCCGTATCTATGCCTCCTCCCGTATCTATGCCTCCTCCCGTATCTATGCCTCCTCCCGCTCTTCCCCGTCCCCGTCCCTCCAACCCCCCCTCTTTCTCCTCCTCTCCCTCCCCTCCTCTCTCCCACAGTACCCATCTCTGCCCGTCTTCTAACCACTCAAAACTCCAGCTAGCTCTGCTTGCTCTCTCAAAGGCATACCGACACTCTCCATCTTTGCCCCGTCAACGTTCCCTTCACTCAACCCACCCTTGTCTTTCCCATCAACGCACGCCACGCCTCGGCGCCGAACCTGTTCAGGAGGTTTGGGAGGAGCTGGCTCGGGAGAGCAGGGTGCGGGCTGGATCGCCCATCATGCTCATCGGGAGCATCAAGCTGGGTCTGAGTCGCCACCGTGCCTTGCTCTTCAAGGTGAGATTCTTTTGATGGCTCAGAAATCGGCTTGGGAGGGCAGGGAGGGCAGGGAGGGCGGGGAGAGCAGGGTGCGGGCTGAGTCGCCACCGCGCGCTGCTATTCAAGGTGTTTTTTTTTTATTCAGGGTGTTATTCCCCGTCAATGTATGCTGTATAATACTCTGCTCGTCCCATCCCCCTTGGTGCTGCGTCCCATCCCTCCCTCACCTTTCTCCGTTCCCACTCGAACCTGCTTCCGATCCCCCTTGCGCCCCCTGCTCCTGTCCTCTGCTCCCTGCCTGCCTGCCTCCCTGCCTGCCTGCCTGCCCACCCGCCCGCCCGCCCGCCCGCCCGCCCGCCCGCCTCCCTCCCTCCCTCCCTCCCTCCCTCCCTCCCTCCCTCCCTCCCTCCCTCCCTCCCTCCCTCCCTCCCTCCCTCCCTCCCTCCCTCCCTCCCTCCCTCCCTCCCTCCCTCCCTCCCGCCCGCCCTCCCTCCCTCCCTCCTGCATCGTCCTGTCACTCTCCACAGGCCCTAGCATCCCGTGCCGCATGATTCGAGGAAGCAACGGCGAGGCGCTCATTGTCACGCGTTGCCACTCATACCCACTCGTACCTGCTTTCTACCTCGCTTAACCTCCCTGCCTCTGTCCTCTCCTCCCTGCCTGCCTGCCTCCTGCATTGTCCTCTCATCCTCGTGTGCCCTTCTTCTCACAGGCCCTAGCAGATTACTTTGGCATCCCGTGCCGCATGATTAGAGGAACCAATGGGGAGGCCCTCATTGCCACGCGCTGCCGCCACAACAGGTACGCTCAAGAGAATTTTAGGGCTGACGTCAGCATCATGTGCAGAGCGCTAGGGCTGACTTCGGCGCAACACAGGAGTATATCCAGGATGACGTCAGCACAGTAGGTGCGATGCGCTGGGAATGACGTCAGCACAGTAGGTGCAATGCGCTGGGGATGACGTCAGCACAAACAGGTGTACCTGGTCTGCTTGTCTGCTCCTCTCCTCTCTCCTTGTTTCTCCGTTCTTCTCTGGTATCTTAGAGAGTGGCTGGTAGATGTGATGAGGCATCCTGGGCAGATGGCCTCTCGCACGATGGCACCGTCGCAGGTCCCGCCTTCCTCAGATCGGCCCTTCCCTCTCCCTCACTGTCCGTCTCTGCTCTCCCTGTTGTTCCTCTGCCCCCATCAGGGAGTGGTTGGTAGACGTGATGAGACATCCTGGGCAGATGGCCTCTCGCTCACACGATGGCACCGTCGCAGGTCCCGCCTTCCTCAGATCGGCCCTTCCCTCTCCCTCACTGTCCTTCTCTGCTCTCCCTGTTGTTCCTCTGCCCCCATCAGGGAGTGGTTGGTAGACGTGATGAGACATCCTGGGCAGATGGCCTCTCGCTCACACGATGGCACCGTCGCAGGTCCCGCCTTCCTCAGATCCCCCCTGCAGTTCGACCTCCCCTCCCCCTGGTCCGCCTCCCCCGCCCAATCCGCGCGCCTGCACCTGCACTCGCGCCCCCCGCGCCCGTCCGCCCAGCAGCACGGCGGAGGGGGAGGGGGAGAGGGCGCAGGGGCAAAGGGGGAGGCTGCAGGAGCAGGGGGGGGACCAGGGGCGAGTGGGGACGGGAGGGGAGGGTCGGGGGGAGGGGGAGCGGAAGGAGGGGGTGGAGGGGGGGCTGCAGGGGCGGGGATTGAATCTGAGCCGTCGGTTTATGCCCTGGCAACGCAGCAGCGGTTTGCAGGGCGGAGCAGTTGTGGGTGCGGGATTAGGCGGGGGGTGTGGGGGCAGGGGGGAGCGTCAGGGGGAAGGGGGAGCGCGGGGGGAGCAGAGAGGCGCTCAGGCAGGCTCAGCACGTTGGGGGAAGCAGGGGGAGGGGGCGGAGGGGCAGGGGGGGAAGTCGGGGGAAGTGTGGGGCAAGGGGATATTTCCCCCGCAGGTGGTGCTGGCGGCGCGGAGCGGAGTGGGGGAGGAGGGGGCGCGGGCGCATCTGGGGGAATGGCGGAGGGGGGGGGAAGCAGCGGGGGGATGCTGGGGAGATGGCTTAAAAGCCCCGCAGGCAGTGAGCGGGTATTCTGGGGGGGCGCAGGGGGAGAAGGGGCATGGGCGCAAGGGGCAGGGGGAGCAGGGGGAGAGGGCGGAGGAGGGGGAAGAGGCGCCAGGGGGAAAGGGGGGATTATGGAGGGGTGGGGAGTGGTGGCACCAGGGAAAGGGGGGAAGGGGAGGAAAGGCAAGGGGGGGGAGAAGGGGACGGGGAGGACGAAAGGGGGGAGGAAGGGGGGGAGGGGGAGGGAGGCGGAGGAGGAGAGGGGGGCGGACGAGCGGGGAGGGGCGGGGGGGGCAGGGGGGGCGGGGGGGGGCGGGGGGTGGGCGGGAGATGGATGAGGGGGCTATGGTGCTGCGATGGGCGATGAAGGAGCTTGAGATTGACTGGGCTGACATGCACCTGCGGGAGAGAATAGGGCAAGGTGAGAAGGAGGCGGGGAAGGGGTGGAGGGGGAGTGAGGAAGGGAGTGGGGAAATGGTTGACTGGCGGCAGCGGTTAGAGAGGCCAAATGATAGGCCAGGGTTGCGATGGTGCTGGGATGGGCGATGAAGGAGCTTGAAATCGACTGGGCTGACATGCACCTGCGGGGGAGAAAAGGTCAAGGTGAGGAGGAAGGGAGAATCGGTGGGTTCAGGGCGAAATTTTACAGTCCCACTGATAAATCCCCGTTGTCTTCCTCATGGCTGGATCATTTGATCGAGGGTCATGGTTGGAACCAATACTTATAAAAATGTGTAAACCAACTGGTTTCAAGATTTCTGCTGTAAAAAAATAACGGCCGTTTTTTTGCACCACATTAAATATATCAATTTTTGGCGTTTTAAAGCGTTTTAAACGGCCGAAAAATACGATAGCGTATTATATGCCAGAATTTCAATCTTTCGGTCGTTTTTTTGCACCTTGGTGCAGAGGGTGTTGTTCGGGGCATCTTACAGTAGGGGCCAGATGATGAGGGGGATGGGCCAGGGTTGCTTTTGCTTTGATGTGCTGCGATGGGCGATGAAAGAGCTTGAGACTGGCTGGGCTGACATGCACCTGTGGGAGAGAATTGGGCGAGGTGCGATTTTTGAGTCGACTCAAAAGTCACCAGGTGCGAATAGAGCGAGGTGAGGGGATGGTGAGAGCAAGGACGGGAGAGGAGACAGGGCGGGTGATTCAAATATGGGGCGAGATGATGGTCGAGGGGGTTATGTTGCTGCGATGGGCGATGAAAGAGCTTGAGACTGACTGGGCTGACATGCACCTGCGGGAGAGAATAGGTCAAGGTGAGAGAAAGGAAGGGGAGGGGGAGAGAGGAATGAGAGAAAAGGGGCTGGGAAACGGTGGGTGGGCAGCAGTTAGAGGTACCAGATTATGTGCGAGGGTGCTGGGATGGTGCTGATAGGGCGGGAGGGAATATGGCAAGGTGGGGAGGGGTGGGGGCAAGGTGAGGAGGGGGAGTAGAGGGGTAGGTCTGGTTTGCCACCATTCACACTCGCTTGTCGATCCCCACTCTCTCCGCACCATCCCCAACCTCTCTTCACCATCCCCTACCGCACTCCGTGCATGCTCCAATCTCCTCTTGCCACTGCATCCCCACCCTCCTCTCTCCGCCCACTCCATCCAGGGTCATATGGCACGGTGCATTGGGGAGAGTGGCAGGGTTTGGTGAGTGCACACATCCCTCCTTATCCCCTCATTAACCCATCCTCCTCATCACTCTGCATTGCCCCTTCTCCCCAACCACTCCATCCAGGTTCATACGGCACAGTGTATCGGGGAGAGTGGCAGGGGTTGGTGAGTACACTCATCCCTCCTTATCCCCTCACTAACCCATCCTCCTCATCACTCTGCATTGCCCCCCCTCATCTCTCCGGCCCACTCCATCCAGGTTCATACGGCACGGTGTATCGGGGGGAGTGGCAGGGATCGGTGAGTGTACACACTGCCTGCCTGCTCATCCTCGCTGCTCGCTTCCCCTCCACCTTCACAATGCGTTCTTCTGCCTTTGCCTTGAGATGCCCCGCTCTTTCTCGAATCGGACAGTTCTTCCCCTCATCCCTGCACCCTGCCATCCCCTCGCCCCTCTCCCTTTTCTGCATCCAGCCCTTCTCTATCCCTGGCAAGAAAGGCATTTCTTTTGTTCTCTCCCCACTCCCTGTCCTCCCCTCTCCGACTCTCTTTCCTCCCCTCCCCGGCGCACCCACTCTCTCTTCCCCCCTCACGTCTCCTGTTCTTTCATTCCCACACCCTCTCCCTGCTCGTCCCTCGTCCCTGCTGCTGCCCTCCGGACGTGGCAGTAAAGATCTCACTCTCTTTCCTCCCCCTTCCCTCCACTGCACCCCTCCTCCCCTCTGCTCCCCTTCCTCTCTTCTCCCTTGCCTTCTCGTCACCCTTGCCCCTGCTGGATCCAGGACGTGGCAGTGAAGGTCTTTCTCGATCAGGACTTGGGCTCACATGCTCTCGAGGACTTCAGAACAGAGGTGAGATGAAACCTTGCAGTGACATGAAGTTATAAGAGTTGAGATTAAATCTGTTCAGAACTGCTTCTCCTTTTTCTGAACCGTGCTGTATGATGTCCAAGAGATGAGACTGACGTTTAGATAAGAGTTTCAATGCCCTGCAGTTGCCCCTTCTCTCACTCATCCTCTCACCCCATTTCTCCCCCACCCGCTCCTCCCCACTTCCCCCCAATCAGGTGGCCATAATGTTCAAGGCGCGCCACCCCAACGTGCTCTACCTTATGGGTGCTGTCACGCGCCCGCCGCACCTCTCTATAGTCACAGAGTTCTGCCCTCGGTAGGTTGATTCCAAACATTCTTATAGGTGCCCGCCTCACCTCTTAGGTGCATTTGTTGAAAATATGTTTCTTAGGTTCCTTCCTGCCTCACCGCACCTCTCTATAGTCACAGAGTTCTGCCCTCGGTAGGTTGGTTCTTTTATCGTGTTCGTAGGTGCCTGCCTGCCCCCACCGCCATCTTACTGGTCACGGAGATTTGTCCCGCGGTAGGCCTGGTTCTTGCAGTCCCACGCAAGGGATCAATTCCGCGGTTCTTTTGAATCGACTCAAAAGGGACCAATTCCGCGGTTCTTTTGAATCGACTCGAAAGGGACCAATTCCGCGGTTCTTTTGAATCGACTCAAAAGGGACCAATTCCGTGGTTCTTTTGAATTGACTCAAAAGGGACCAATTCTGCGGTTCTTTTGAATCGACTCAAAAGGGACCAACTCCGCGGTTCTTTTGAGTCGTCTCAGAAGGGACCAATTCCGCGGTTCTTGAGTCGATTCAAAAGGGACCAACTCCACGGTTCTTGCAGTTTCGAGACGTCCCAAGAGTGAGGCTGCATCTCCCATGTTTGCTTGCTTGCTTTGCGTTTTTTTTTTTTTTTTTTTTTTTTTTTTTTCCTCTCGCAACAGTATGTTATGTGAGTTTCGCCGCCTGCCCGTGCGTCTTGCAGGGGAAGCATCTTCAGGCTGCTGCAGCAGCCCAATCGCGAGCTGACACCTCAGCGGAGACTGAGCTTCGCGCTTGATGTGGTGAGTTGCGGTGCTGTGAGGTGTCTGTGGGTTGTGATGTGCATGGATGGGGTGGGAAGCGCATGGGTGATGGGATGTGCTTGGATGATGGCATTTGCTTGGGTGAGGGGATGTGCATGAGATGTGCATGTGATGGGATGATTATTGCAATCACACACAACCTTCCCTATCCCCAATCTATCCCCAATCGATCCACCATCACACGCCCATCCCTCCTCCCCCACCCACCCACCAGGCGAAGGGAGTGAACTACCTGCACAAGCGCAAGCCGCCCATCGTGTACCGCCCTTGAGTCCCAGACATGTCAAGCCCATACATCACCTCACCGCACCTCACCTCACCTCACCGCACCTCACCTCACCTCACCGCACCTCACCTCACCGCACCTCCTTTGTATGGCCCCCCATCCACCCACCAGGCGAAGGGCATGAACTACCTACACAAGCGCAAGCCGCCCATCGTGCACCGGGACCTGAAGACGCCCAACCTTCTCGTGGACAAGGACTGGACTGTGAAGGTGTGACTACAATGGTTGTGACTGTAGGGTATGATTTTCTTGGGTTCGGGCCTGACAGTCAAGGTGCGGGTGGGACCTCAAAACGCCCAACCTGCTCGTGGACAAGGTCTGGAGTGTCAAGGTGTGCTTGCAGAGCAGAGAGGGGTTCTGGGTGTGTGTGGGTGTGAGAGTCAAGGTTATCTCAAAACGCCCAACCTGCTCGTGGACAAGGACTGGAGCGTCAAGTTGTGTGTGTGCCTGTAGTGGATTGGTGTGGGTTTACGACAGTCAAGGTAGGTATGACGTTTGTGGGTGCTGATGCGACAGTCAAGATGACCTCAAAACGAGGTGACTTTTGAGTCAACTCAGAAGTTACCTTGTGGGTGCTGATGCGACGCTCAAGATGACCTCAAAACGCCCAACCTGCTCAAGGTGTGTGCCTGTAGTGGGTGGTGTGACAATGAAGGAGAGACTATAGTGGGCGTGGGTTGGAAGTGATAGTCCATGTGCAGGCATGATCCAACCTTCACCCCTTCCTCCTCACCCTTCATCCTTTCCACCTCACCCTTCATCCTCTCCCCCACACCCTTCACCCTTTTCCCCTCACCTTCGCCCCTCGTCCTTCACCCTCCCCCAGGTGTGCGACTTTGGGCTTTCCAGGTTGAAGCATCGAACGTTCCTCTCCACCCGCTCTGGTGCCGGCACGGTGAGAGGAGGGGGGGGATAAGGGGTGGTTGAGATGGGTGTGACGGGAGGGTGGATTTTCTATGATCATATTAGGGTTGTGAGAGGCGAGCTGGATATTTTGCCTCACCCAGTCTCTTGCAAGATTCAGCTTCTTGTTGGGAATGTTTCCAAATTTCTAGGCACTTAAGAAAACTTTCTGGTGTAAATGTTTCCACGTGTCACCTCAAACCGTGTGATGGCATGGCATGTGCTGGCATGGGTCATGTCATGATGGGTCATGATGGCATGGCATGTGCATGCATGGGTCATGTCATGATGGGTCATGATGGCATGGCATGTGCATGCACGGTTATCCATCTATTGCAGCCCGAGTGGATGGCTCCAGAAGTGTTACGCAACGAACCCTCCAATGAAAAGTGAGCCTTTGGCTGTCCTACTCTAAAAGTTGACGCCTGCGTCGTTACACGAGACATGAAATGTATTCTGCCTTATAACAGGAAGTCATTCATTTCACCCCCGTCCAACATCCCCAAGAACTTTTGCACACGCAAATTCTGAACATGCCCCTCGCTCGACGCTTTGTCCTTCCAACATACACAGTGTCCCTTTGTCTTGTGCTTGCTTCTCTCTTTGTTTCTCCTCTCATGGTTGAACCTTGCAGGGCGGATGTGTACAGCTTTGGTGTGATTCTATGGGAGCTAGCAACCATGCAGCAGCCATGGACAGGTCTCAACGCCCTTCAGGTGGGTTCAAATGCTCTTCGTTTTCATTCAGGTGTGCTCGAGCCATGTCCTTGTTGCAAGCCTTTGCTCCCCCATGAATATGACGCATGTTTATGGCATGTGTGTATGGCAGGTGGTGGGAGCAGTGGGGTATCAGAACAGGCGCCTGGAGGTGCCAGACACGATAGACAGCAGGCTTGCAGCAGTCATCAAGTCATGCCCTCATGTGCACGCCTTTGCTCCTCCCTGCTCTTCCCTGCATGTGTGTGTGTCGCGTGTGTGTGTGGCAGGTGGTGGGAGCAGTGGGGTATCAGAACAGGCGCCTTGAGGTGCCAGACACGATTGACAGCAGAGTTGCAGCAGTCATCAAGTCATGCTGGAGCGAGTATGCCTCCCCTCCCTCTCACTGCTCCTTGCTGTTTCCTGCTCCCTAGTGTTCTCTAAATGATTTCTTTCCGCCCATCACTTTCTTGATGGCCTAATTTACATGCTGCAACCCCTTCAAACCTCCCCACCTCCCCTCCCCCCCGTCTCCCCCTCCCCCCCCCCCCCACGCTCACTCACTCCTCTCCCTGTGCCTCCAGTGAGCCCTCGCTGCGGCCAAGCTTTGAAGAAATAATCGGGTTCTTGCGGCAGCAGCAGCAGCTTCGATAGCTACCGGCATGTTTAAGGCAGTGTTAGGCAACGATACCAAGGGTGATGTTCAACTCACCACCAGGAAAAGTTTCGGCACCATCTTTAATGAAGCCCAAGCAGACCCAAGCTGTGCATTCTTTAGGTACTGCCTTGGAGCGGCCAGCCATGTTAGCTGGCTGTAGTTGCATTGCTATGCACAGCCCTTGGCTCTCTTCTAGAGATACTAGAAACAACTCTGTATGAAGAAGTTATTGACCAGTCCAACATCCAATCTTTATGTACCATTGCCTGGATTCAAATGAAATCAGTATGTTACATGGTGCTGGGGTGTCAGTTTCCAAGTTATGATCTGTTTATTTACTAACAAAACATTATGGGCACTGGGCCATCTGATTCACCGCGTTCTCAAAACAATACATGTCCCACCAGTCCTACTCCTAGTGTGACCTACCTAATAACTTAACCCTATGCCTAGAGTAACTTGTGTGTGATGATGTTGGACGCCGTGGTCCCTTCTGCCTCAGCTTCACAGGCCTTGTCTCCGATAGGTGTGACTTGGATGTTTGGAGAACTTGTAGCACCACCAGGTCCTGGCTCTCCGAGTGGTGAAGCTACCTGGCAGCTACCCTCTTCTTCACCTCGGTCGTCAGTGGCATCTGCACCCTTGCCTGGTGGGGACGTGGCTGTGCGAATGGCCAAACCTAGCTCCAGATTCGTGTGTGGCTGTTCAGGAGGTGGTCTTGCAGGTGCCACTGCTGTTACTTGAAGACCAGCAGAGTCTCTGGAAGTGAGAGCTTCGTTTGACAATGAGAGCTGCAACTGACTGGGCTTCAGAGGGCTGCCTGATGGAACAAGGTTTGGTGTGGATGGAGCAGGTAGTGGTGTCTGGGCTTCAGCCTCCACAGGTGGTGTTGCTGCAGTGCTTGGTATGGTGGGTGGAAGGAGAAATTGATAGCCCGTGGGAGCTGCTGTATGCATTGGGATATGGACCGGAGGTGGGCGAGGAGGAAAAGGTGCTGACGGGGAAGGGTGGAAGTACAAGGGATGAATAGCAGTTGGCAAGGTTGGTTGCAAGGGCGGTGTGACTGATGGTGGTAAAGTTGTAAGAATGGGTGAGGGTGGAAATGTTGGTGAAGATGTGTTCACGGAACCGGGCTGGTAAAGTGAGAAGAGGGTTCTCGAATACTCCAGGTAATAGTTCATGAAGCCTGCAGTGTAGCACAGGCAAGGGACCACATTAGAAAATACTCAAGCATAATATTGAACGGACAGGGAACAAAGGAAGATGCATTACCTGGGTTCTGAAACTGCATCACAGCAAGCTGTGAAGGGCTGAACAGGTGAGGTAGCCACAACAGAGGGTCAATTGACGCGGGATTTCCACCTGGCATCAGCCCTGTTGACATTGACGCTCCCTCGGGAATACCTCCAGGCGAAGGTACTGCCGGTGGGGCGCCTTGAAGCAGTCCTGGCCGACAAAGAGGCAAAGATGCAGAAGGTGGTCCTAGGAACGATTGCGACATTCCGGACATGGCTGGACGTGGAAATGCTCCTCCTCTTGTACTCGCTGCTGCTGCAACAGCTGCAGCAGCGGCAGCTGCAGCGACTGCCATAGCAGAGCCTGGCTCTGGAACAGTGCCTAATCCAAGGGACATAGGCAATGATTGCACATGCCCACCATCTGCCCGAAGCATAGGAACACCCCCCTGTGTGCCGAGATCTGCCTCAGTTGGCCTTCGTGCAACTGGCCGCAATAGATCAAGCCCCAGCTCAGACGTTTGTACATCACAAGGCTGAGTTGCACCGATAGGGAGTACTGGCTGAGCATGTGGCTGAACGGACAATCTCTGCCTCTTGCTTGGAGAACTTCCTCCAGCCTGCCTTGCACCAGGGCTTGGGGCTGCTTCCCGTTGTGATGACGAATTTGGGCATGCTTCTCTTGCTTCCTGAGCAGATGTCTGGCCTGGCCCTCCAGCTGGGTTCTGCAGAAAGGAAGCTAGTGAAACAAGCTTCCCAGAGGACTCGCTGCGACCAACGCCTGCGAGAGAGCTTGGGGGGGCTGACGCTTCTCCATCTTCACCAGTCAGCAGCCTTCGACCAGCCTCATCAGGTACTGCAACGCCATCTGTGATCCGGAGCCGTAGTGTTCCGCCAATGTTTCTCATGAGAGGCTCAGCAGGGCTTGCTGGTTCCCGGTCGAGCTCCGTGGTCTGCCGTGGCCGCAAGGCCTGTTGCTTCTTCTGGGCGGAACGCTTATGGCCTGATGGCTCCAAGACGTTCTTCCCAACCCCCAGCAGCTTAGCAGGCGTCTGCGACTGCGACGAATGCTTTCCCTGCTGCTGCCGTTGCTGAGATTGAAGGCTGGATGCCATTGGTGATTGCTGATGAAGCTGTTGAGTCTGTTGTGTTGTATTCGAAGCATGGCTTTGTGGTTGTGCTGCTCCAGGAGTTGAGATGGAGATGCCCGATCTTGCCGTAAATGCCTCCTGGACCTCCGCTGAAGGCATGCGAAGGGGAGTATGCACAACTCGCCATGTGATAGATGGAAGCTCGCGGTCTCTCTTGGCGGGGGTAATTCCAGCCTTCAAAGCAGGTTCTGAAGTAGCAGATGGACGCTGAAAGCGGTTTGTCACGGACTCAGATGCTTTGATGATTCCCTCAAAACATTGATGAGGGCCGTTGGCTCCAATCCAGCGGTAATGTGACTTGGGAATGGTGGATTGCGGTTGTTCAGTGGCAAGAGCCTCTTGCACCTTTTCAATCAGATTAATTGAACTCAGTATGTTCACCACGTCGTATAGCCTCCGGATGCGAGCTGCACATGAACAATCATGATGTTAGTGAGAATCATGACGGAATGAAAGAAATGGCATCTTGTTGCCTGCTCACATCGATCATCTGGTGGGTCGAGCAACATCTCAGCTGCGTCTTCCCAGCATACGGTTGCATTCTGCAAACAAGAAAAGACAAAGAGTAAGTGCGAATCACGTACTCAGTCTAACTTCTATGAACGGAGCTGGGAATATTCGTTGATCCAAACATACCGTGTCTTGAAGAAACAGCTGAACAAACTTCTCTCCAAGATTCCTCAAGATCGACCCTCTTCTTGCATCTGGGTTGACTTCACTGTCCTTGCCTGAACCATCACACTGTGGGTCTACCTTTCTTGGTGATGACTTTTCAGAAAAAGCGTTATTGCCATGCAGTGAAGTCACGCCCGCACTCGCACTTCCTTCTCCACCAACAATGGCGTTGCCCTGCAAACGAACCCCTATCAGTTGTGAACAATATATGATTCTTGAAAGAGAAAAAAAAAAAATCAGCACGCACCTTGATTCTGGCAAGAGCTTCACCGATGCCATCTGATCCGAGCCACAGATACTCATGCTTGCCTTGTTTCTTTACTATGCTGACACACTCCAGGACGTTGAAAATGTCATACAGTTTTCTTCGCCGTATCCCTGCAGTCACGTCGATTGTAAGAATGTAAAAGCTCATATATATGGATTGATTCCATAGACGCACTCGCTTACCTAGGAGGTTCTCCAATTCCTCGAGGTTCAGCTTGCCTCCCTCTTTCATCAGACAGGCTCCAACGACTCTGAGGAGGGTAACGAAGTAGAAGTAAGTGGTAGAGCCCAGATTACAGAGCTAAATGCTTGAAAAGGAACGAGGGAACCGAAGACTTGACATACGCGTGGGTTATTGTACCCAACGAGTGCTCCTTCCTGATGTCATCTTCTTGGTTTTCGAACTCAGCACAACGTTTCTCCTGGCAAGAAAAAACAACATTGAGTAAGAAACTGATCAGTAAGTCAGCAAATCTCACCTTCTCCTATCTGCCTTACCACGTTAATAGGGTGGGGAGATATGTGTGAATGAGCTGCATCATTGCGTGAACCCGTTGCTGAGCTATCCTCCCCCAAACCTGCCTCTGGCCTGTGTTGCTGCGGAGTGCCTGTAATGGCTGCAGTCGGAAAAGGGACCGGGCTGAAAGGTGGAAGGTAGGCTCTTCCTTGACGATTATGAAAGTCTGAATGGTTAATGCCTGAACCTGGTGTCAACGGCAAGGTCGTTTGTGCACCAAGAAGTGGAGAACAGATGGGAACCTGCAGCATGTAAAACAAGACATCGTTAGCTTTTCCTTGTGGACGAATAACGCAAGCAACCATCAGGCCCGCCTACCTCGGATGCGAGAGGCCTCGTGTCAGGGACGTTAGGGTGGAATCTCGGGGTTTTTGGTAGGAGAGCTGCAGAAGAGCGAGACGCACACAAAGGTGGAGTCGTCAGGACATTTAGCGGCGCAATGCGTCTTGCAAGCAGAGAGGTGACACCTGATTAGTACCTTTGAAAGGTGGGCGATCTCGTCCTGATGCTCTGACGTCAAATGCGCTCAAGCCTGAACAGCGAGAAAGCGGACGATTAGATCTTGCACGAACTGACCAATGTGAGAGAGAAGTAAGGCAGAGACATACCCTGCAAGAAGCAGTTCACTTGCAAGTTCGCTGCTCCTTGCGGCGCATCGTTGTTGGCGACGACCTTGATAGAACTGGAAATAGAGCTCCCAAGAAATTGCTGAGACTCTGAGTAAAACGCAAACAGAAGCCTGAATTTCGAAGTGTTACAGCAGGGTCGTATGTGCGTGCTAGCCTCGTCAATAGCAATATACAAATGCCGGGGCTCCTTCCACACATCAGGATCATCAGGAGAAGCGACTACGCTACGCCGTGATAATCGTCCGAACCTCTGCAACCCTTTCAGAATAGGACCGATGCAACCCTTAGTGCATTGACTCCGGACAACAGGTACCCAGTGGTACTCAGCCTGAGTTTTGAATGTCGCCCCATGATGGTTTGCGAAGACCAGGAACACGTAAAGTCGCATTCTTCTGTCATCCTGAAATCGCAGATTGTACTTCAGGGTACCCTCGTGCAGAAAGGTATCCACCTCGCTTCCAACCGGAACCTCGATAGCCTCGGTCAGGGAAAGCTCGGCCTTCGAAGAGCGAGAATCCTCATTGAGAAATACCAGCTCTACCTGGTTGTACGAGCATTTCTGCTTGCCAAGCTTATAAGCCCTGCGAGCACACGGAGCTGGTATCAGTGTCTATCTCGAGGGTCACGGAAAACAAAAAGGCAATGCGTGAGCCTACTTTCGTCAGCACCTTATTTCTGGCTGCTCATTGATGGCAAAGGCTGTTGATGTCGACACCGGACACAACAAATCCATCGTAATCCTGCTGAGCCATGCTACTCTAGCATCGGACGGTGTAGGTTTCGAGCTATAGTTAGTCCTGTCGTAGAAACTTGGTCAGACGGTAACAGCTTCTCTATCCACAATTATTAATCTCCTGATCAGCCGGTCAGTCTAGGTGGATAAGCACGGAGGCAGAGTATTCACCAGACACAAGCAGTCCAGGTCGCTCGACCAGCTTAATTCTTGACCATTGTTGTGCATCACCGATATGAAGAGGGTGTAAACGCGTTATTGCTAACATGAGTTACCTAGGGATTGCATGTGGTTACGCAAAATGGGGGACGTAAACGGGCGGGAGAGGAGGTGTCGTCCAGATTTGTGAACTATCTCCCGCATTGACAGGATGCCTGGAATAACTGAAGGGGTGGTGTCATTCAGCGGATGGTATCCTGGGGGAAGGGGAGCTCTCGAGGACAATCGAGAAGCTGGCCTTGGGGAAGACGATGTGACCTTGGTGGGGAAAAGGGGATGTGTGCATCTAGCGTTCCGCTTGAAGGACGCATTGGCTGGCGGGGAAGAAAGCATGGCAAACTTCAAATGTGACGGTCTGGTTGAAGCTGTTTTCACCAACACTAGGGGTAAACCGTCAGATATCCCCATCCGGTCCTTGTGCCACTGTAGTCGTTTGTGTTGTGAAGCTGACAGCGAGATCTTCTTGGAACTTGGCTGGCTGCTCCCAGCCCGCTGTATCGAGTCGCGATCCGGGAATACCGCAAGAAACTTTTGAATTCGAATGCCACGCCTCTTTCTTTTGGCGCGAGAGAGTGTGGAGCAAACAAAGCAAACCAATCATTCTCGGTCATGCGGCGAGGGGAAAAATGGAGGCTGCACCGCCGTTCCCCAATGACTACACAGTCATTGATCGCACAGTGTCGCATGCCCTGGAATCCTGGAGAGCTAGTGCAACAACAAGAGTCGGTGACACTAAGGAAAAGCCTCCAATAAAACTGTACAGACAACAGGTGAAACATTTGCTCTTCCATTAGATCAGATCAAAAGCACAATGATTACACCTTGACTGCTAATGTTCCTGGTGCGATCCAATCATCTGGAATAAGTGAAGACTTCCCATTTCGTCTCATTCCCTCAACCTACAATAACAGAGGAGACAAAAATCAGAACAATGGATAATATCAGCTGAATGGATGACAAAAAATACATGTAAACCAGAAATCAAGAGATACACCTCACCTGATCTATGACCATGGAGTTAAAGACTTCCAACAGCTCATCCAGCTTTACCCGATTATCTGGCTCAAGAATCTGTAAGGCATACACCACAGCTTCGATCGTGGACAGGCAACCAAACTGCCAAGGACTTGGAGGGATGATAGGGCAAAAACACAAACAACATCATTTATTGAGAAACATGCGAGAGATGATGGGAAAACAAGAACCAGGGCAAAAATCAACATCTAACCTTTGGTTGCTTCCGGATGAACCCATATCTCGATGGCGCAGCGGCTTGTGGTGGCAAGTGGTAGTGCGGCAGCTGCAGCAGCCATGGATTCTGACACAGAATCCTCTTCGCCTTCGGCCACGTGCCATCCAGCACAATCAAGTGAGACGGTCTCAACACATCAGAGGACTGATCACCAATGGACGGCGCAGATCGCTCGGCACCATTGGACTGTTGTGGAGGCTGCAGCTCTATGGATCGGGGGGAGGGGTACAGTACCGCAGCTCCAGGCGGCAAACTGATCCACTGTGGTATCTCCACTGGCTCGGTACTTACAGCCTCTTTGCTTCCACAGCTCCTGCTACTGGTACTGGAGGATGCAGTGCTTGTTGACAAAGCTCGGTCTTCTAGATGAATGTGTCTCATTTGGTTGCTGGGACAACAGCTGCTGCTACTGCTGTGGCTGCTGCTGTGAATGCTGCTGGGGGTGCTGGATGCTGTACTATGACTGCTATGCAGATGGGACATTCTCAAGCCATGGTTGTCAACTGCGAATTCCTCAGGAACAACACGCCAGCTGCTACTGCTGCTCCTCCTGCTCTTGCTCTTTGTACTCTTGCTCCTCACACTGCTCCTCCTCCCTCCTTTGCTGCAGCTGCAGCTGCTGTCATCGGAACAACCATCACCACAAGCAGTGCTGGCTAGCCCTTTTGTCCCATACTCAATGTTGTCCTCACACCACATACTACCACCATCAACTGCACTGCTCCCGTCAGCATGATGGTCACCCCTGCCATCGTCACTCTCAGCCCCATCAGCAGCAGCAAACGGCAGGAGGTCAAAGCTTAGATCGAAGCTTGAATCACCTGTTAATGCCCCATTTGCTGTTTCTCCTCCCTGTTGCTCAACCAATACAGGCCCATTCGCTCCTACACCCCTGCTTCCTTCTTGTTCGACTCCGTTCTCCACACATTCCTCGCCCTCTCTTACCTCACCCTCTCTCTCCTCAACCTCGTGCAATTTCCCACCTCTCACCTCAACCTTTTCACCAACCGCAGTGACAACCACAAGCCCTCCATCTATGCCCGTGCTTGCTTCCCCATCCCTTGCATTGCCCCTCTCACTCGATTCCCCCGTCCGCTGCGCCTGGTCTCCCCACAGCCGCTGTTGTGGTGCTTCCTCCCCCTCCTGCAGCATTCGCCCCTCCGCATTCCCCTGCGTTTCCCCTAGCCCTTTCCCTTGACCCTGCCCTTGTTCCTGCCCATGCCCTTCCCCTTTCCCCTGATCCGCCCCTAACTCTTGCCCTTGCCCATGTCCTTGACCATTCCCTTGCCCCTGCCCTTGCTCCTCCCCCGCCCCCTCCCCTTGCTTTCCCCCTTGCCCCTGCGCTTTCCCCGCACCCTTGCGCCACCGCCCCCGCCCAGAGCGCCCCAAGAGCGAGCGGCGGGAGCAGGGGTCCTTGGGCTGCAGGCCTGGCCGCCCGCGCCCCAGCGGAACCACCACCACGCGCACGCGCTGCAGCCCCAGCAGCGCAATGCGCGCCGAGCCCAGCGGGTGGTACTTCTCCTTGGGATGCTGCTCGGGGGTTTTGGAGGGGAAGAGGTGGGGGGCAGCGGGGGAGATGAGGGAACGCGGAGGTAGGTAGTAAGGTCGGAAGACAGGAAACAGAATGGGGCAAAGGAATAGGGAAACGGGGAACCCAAAGGAGGAACTTTCAAGCGGTAACGAGGAACGGGTTCAGGAAGGGTTTCGGGGATAAACAGAAACGTAAACGTTGACGTAAACCTAGGTAGTCAATCTGATGCACGTCTGCTTTCCGCGAGGCATACCTGCAGGATTGTGACACCCACGCGGTTATCCACGGGCTCGCCGAAGCGATCACAGATGCACACGCTCGTCGCCTTGTGACACTCCACGCAGAACGCCCGCCTTCCCTGCTGCTGCTGCTGCTGGCGATGCTTCTGGTGCTTCTGTCCGCTTTGCTGTTCGTTCCGTTGCCGCTGTTGCGTCTGCTGATGCGGCTGTTGCGTCTGCTGATGCGGCTGCTGCTGTTGCAGCTCCTCCTGCCGCCGCTCGCTCAATTCCTCTCCTTGTTCGCCACGTGGATTCGTTGCCTCTGTCGCTAATTCGCGATCTCGAAACTCCTCGGGGCGGTGATCTGCTACCGCGTCACCTGGTAACGACAGGTGATCGGCTATTTCACCAACTGAGATCGTATCTGATTTACAATTACGACCATCAACGACTGACGAAACACCTTCACCGTCCATTCCTGACCGACTGTTCGTCGCATCTGAGACGTGAGAGTCGTTTCCGTCGCCTGCGACGGGATCCGCGACAGCGTTAACCGCGGCAGAATCAAAGTCGTTGCAGCGTAGATGCGAAACCATCATCGCCTCGCGATATCGCAATAACGAGACAAGCTACTGAAGGGGTTTTCTGAAGCGAGTACGGCAGGAACAACGGATTTGGTAATGTAAGGGCGCATGTCTTTTGGTTTTTATAAGCAAAACTCGAGTTTTTTGTTGAACTTTTCCATCTGAGCCTAGGTCGACCTAGGCTCGAGTATAGCCAAATCTGTAACCCGAGTCGCGGTTCCAACACTCTCGAGAACCACAAGACACACAAATGGTCGACTTTCAAAGTTGAACTTTTGCAACTTTCCCGAGTCGCGGCCCATATCCGTAGGTTACCCGGTTTGGCCTCTTGACAGAGCACCACGTATGTCCCCTTGCGTCCACCGCCACAAGTGAGTTGGCGAAGCCAGAACCCTTTCGATCGAGTCGCTCGTTCTAACGACGTCAGCTGAGACAGTCGCAGAATTCGCTTCTTCATCGTGTTTGGTCAAAGGACACACGATTTGATTTTCGTGTGAGACTGTTTGGTACGAGAAGTTCAACCGTAGATTCGGTCCCGCTTCAGACATGACATTGTCCTTCGACACACGATGGCCATGCGAAGCATCTAACGAAAGTCTCGAAAAGGGTTCTCACCAAAAGTTCAGCCAAATTTCCGAACGTCAACACCAGAAGACACGCGCCCTAAGGGACCAGATAGAATCTGGGTGTCGGGTATGATGTACGGTATGACACAAGGGTAGGTTCGAAAGACCAGGCCAGCATGCGGGTTCAAACATCAGAAGCTCCTGTGGCCAGAGTGTTGGTTCCACCTTTGAGCAAGCAAGGGCTTATAGCGCGGATGCGGTAAGGAACGAGAAACTAGCTTCTTCAATTCAATTGTTAAACGAATAAATTACTCATCACTCTAGGCATCAACTTTTGCACTTCTAGAAATCATGTGATCGGTAACATGTCCCTGCAATAAATGAAAAACGAATAACACGTTTTAGCAGTCATTTTTGCAAAAACAAAACAAACAAACAAACAAGGAAAGGGTTGTTGTTCCTTACCAAGAGGATTGCTGAATGGGAGTTAACACCATCCTGCTCAAGAATTGCAGCAGTAGACGCAAGGCAGACACGTCAGTTAAGTTGAGACTACAAGAAATAATATTATAAATCAGAAAAATGTCAACACAAACTCACTCCAAGTGCAGGAGCCTGCCATGTGAGCCATGTGTCCACAGACTGCCAGCTGTTATAAGTGATCTCAGAGGGCCACGTGGCAGGCATGACAATGCTGCTGACAGGCTGGACGATACTCAAGGCGTCTGGCTTGTTGACGGCAGATCATCCGTGTCAAGGGGGAGCGGGGTGAAGATGAGGACAGAGATCCAGAAGGGGAAATTGAGAAGTTTTCATACAAGATATTATGTATTAACACAGGATGAGCATAGGGATGAAGAAAGGGGCGAATGGGTGAGCTCTGTAGACTGTGGTGGACATATTGCAACATCATTCGACAGTTGGCACTTATTGAACGACTCACTTGTAAGAAAAGCCTCCACCCACAAGGCACGCTCGCTCCACTGCGGGGTCTTGATGCGCAGCGGAATGCCCCTCTCTACGCACGTGCTGCAAAAACACCAAGCGAGGGTGCAACACAGATGAGTCCTTTAGGTGCATAAAGTGATATTGCAAGGCACGCTCGCTCCACTGCGGGGTTTTGATGCGCAACGTAATGCCCCTCTTTATGCACATGCTGCAAAAACAGAAAAGGAGGTTGCAACCAAAATATCGGAAAACAAACAGAATTCTTCCACAGGTGACGTGATGCAATGCATCTACTTAGGCGAGAGATGCGGGCCATTGAACGTGCATCAAAACAGAAGGTGGTTACATACTCAATGATGGCTTGGCGGATGCTTCCTGGAAGGATCCCACTCTCAAGTGATGCTGTCTGCAGCTCGAGTCCATGCCAGGGCGAACCGTGGCTTGAGTTGATGTCACTGGCAGGGCCAGAATCACAGACACAAACACAAGGGCAGATTGGCAGAAAGTCAGAGATCAAACCCACATCGGCTGACTTATGAGCAACATGTGTACTGCCCTTGGAGTTGCATATCTAACGCCTAACTGCCACTGGCAGGGCCAGGATCACAAACGCAAACACAAAGGCAGATTGGCAGAAAGTTGGAGACCTAACCCACATCTCCTGATTTTTTAGCAGCACATAAGTTGCCCAGAAATAACAGATACCCGACGTAGCACATGCTCTTGCCATACCTGGCAGGCTCGGCTCGAGCCACTACAAAGAGGTTTGAGGTGATGCCTTCGAGAAGTGCGTCACCGTCATTCGATAGAATCACGTCCTTTGCCTCTGCTGGCCTAGCCGCCTCCAGGACTCGGCGGACGCTGCAGGCTCGCACACGAGGGGGGAAGATCAAAAACAAATTCTGAGCTATGACGAAGAGGTTCGAGGTGATGCCTTCTGGAAGAACATCACCGTCATTCGATAGAGTCACATCCTTTGCCTCTGCTGGCCTAGCTGCCTCCAGAGCTCGCTGGATGCTGAGGGCTTGCACACAAGGGGAGAAAAAAAAAAAAAAGACAAGATTTGGACTTGTCGGCAGCCTTGTACTTGACTGCAGGCTCGCACAACAGGGAATAAGAGATGGTATATAGTGGTGTAGAACAACAATCAAAGCTCAGGGCATTGATTGTTGCAACGGGGAAGAAGAGCGCAGGGTGGGAAAGGAAGGAGTGAAGGAAGAGACACTCACAGGGGCCATGAGGAGAATTTCGCAAGGGGAGTGTCTCGGCCAGGCCCCATGACAGCAGCACAGACGGGTGGCGGCAGGGAGATGGATGGCCAAGGGCTCGTGGGGCGGACCGTGCTGGCATGCACGTAGACCTCCACGCATCGTGAAGTTGCTGCAGCAGCTCCTTCACCTACGAACACCTTTTGACCACAGAGAAGAATCATCAGGCAGATCTCCACCTGCTGCTGCTGCTGCTGCTGCTGCTCCTTGCCATTCTCCTCCCCCTGCACGTTCCTCCGCCACCAATCACAGTCCACCATTTCTTGCACAGCTGCTAGCACAGACGCTCTAACATCCTTGCGTAAATCAGCAACCAAATTTCTGATTCGATCCGCCTCTTTCCAAACCTTCTCTTGACAGAGCTCTTTGTCATGTGTTTGATGACGGGTTGGCAGCAGGTTCGGTGACAGGTTCGGGAACAGCTCGGGGTGAGCTTCGGCAAGCAGCAGCAGCGACTGAGTGACTCTACTGAGGTGAAATTCCCACAAGAGAAGGTGGGAACCGTTGCCGAACGTGCGAGTGGTGGTGTAGGCGCCTGAGGGGGGGGGGGATGGAGGGAGGGAGGGAGGGAGGGAGGGAGGGAGGGAGGGAGGGAGGGAGGGAGGGAGGGAGGGAGGGAGGGAGGGAGGGAGGGAGGGAGGGAGGGAGGGAGGGAGGGAGGGATGGAGGGAGGGAGGGAGGGAGGAAGGAGGGAGGGAGGGAGGGAGGGAGGGAGGGAGGGAGGGAGGGAGGGAGGGAGGGAGGGAGGGAGGGAGGGAGGGAGGGAGGGAGGGAGGGAGGGAGGGAGGGAGGGAGGGAGGGAGAGTGGGAGAAATGGCAGCATTGGGAACGAAAGAACCGCTGCTGAACGAGCGGTGAAGGCGCCTGGGAAGGAAGGAGGGCACAGTCAGAGATATTAGGGAAAAAGGAAGGAGGTAGAAGAACACGCAGAGGACAGACTGAGCCGCGGATTGAGCCACGAGATTGGAAATGCGCAAGGTGTTAATGATACCTTTGGGTATGGTTTCTAAGAACGGCTTTTGAGTCGACTCAAAAGGCAATTAAGCCACGAGGCTGGAAATGCGCAAGGCGGTGACGATACCTTTGGGCATGGTTTCTAGAAACGCTCGAGGCCCCGAGGGACACGGCGTACATCCATCCTCGATGTTAATTGCCCCCGTGGCTCGATCAGTTAACATCCGGCCATTATGCGCCACCGCGAACGGCGGAGGCTCAACGGGAGCCTCTCCGGAAGTTGAAGACGCAACTACCGCTGGTCGCCCTGCTGCTACTCTACCTGCTTCCATCCTCCCTAATTCCACCCTCCCTCTTCCTGCTACTGTTCTACCTGCTTCCACCAGCCCTGTTGCCGACGCGAAACGAGAACGATCAGTCGCAGCTCGAGCGGAAGAACCATTCCGCGCCGTTGCGTGCCTGAGTAAAAGACTCGATACGGTGAATTTCGATAGATTGAACGACGCGCCGCAAGACGTGCTGCCTTTTGCACGGGACACGAGTAAGCGCTGGTGAAGAGATGCAGAGGTCAGCGATCCCGTCATACCGTCAACTTGAAGCGATACGCATAACGTCGGGATTCAAAACGGGGTGAGCCAACCGTGTCACGAATGAGCGTGAAACGGGAGCAGAAATGAGGATTTCACAACGACAGGAATGCCAATTCTCGTAGTTTTACAATCGTGCTCGCTGTTGCCGACGCGATGTGGCTGCGATGGAGTGCTGCTGGTGACTGGATGATACTAGATATCAGCTTCCAAGGTCTTGCGTGCTGCAATAAGGTGCAGAGTTTTAAGTTTGGGCTCTAAACCCTGGCACAAAATACAGAAAAATAGTATGTCTCTTCTCACAAAGTACGATGAGGCTTACAAATACTCCAAGGCATGAGACCATTTTTCTACCGTATCGTTAGAAGAAAGTCAAGGCTTCAAAAGGAAGCCTATCCGCGAATAAAGCTGAAAGAATTGCAGTAACATTATATCTTTTGCTAATCTTGCCACCAGCTGGTGGCCTTCCCTGTCTTGGCCACTTTGTCAAAAACTTCCTGGGGTGTCACGTCACCCACAACAGTCACCTTCTGGTTCTCCAGACTGATATCGAACGACTTCACGCCTGTGAAAGGACAAGGGCGTGGACGAAGGAGGAGACGGGGAGAAGCATGGATGATGAAGAGTACGAAACGGCGAGCCAAGTGCAAGCGACGCGAAATGGCGGCGCAGCGAGCAGATAGACTGAATAAAATGAACGCGGTGCTAATCAGCTACCGTATGGCATGGGCCGCTTACCTTCCATCTTTTCCAAGACTCGTTTCACGGCAGCAGAGCAGCCTCCACAAGGCATCGCGACTTTCAGGTGAACCGTCTGCAAGAGTGGACACATCCGGCCGCGACATCGTCATACGTAAGGAAGAGCGTGGAGGGCCATACAGCGGTCGCGACGCGCGAGGCGAGGAGCTGATAACTACAGAAAGGACTACCGACCTGAGTCATTTTGTCGGCACTGCAAGAAACAGAGAAGGATTTTCGACCCGAGAACCGAGATCCGACGACAACAGAAGACTGGGGATGCTGGCTATTGAAACCTGCTGGAGTCTGAGCGAGACGGAATCTACCGAAGCTTTTCGAAGTGCTGACGGAGAGGGAACCAGCAACGCTGAAACTAGCCATGGAAATATGGAAAGCTAGGGCAAGAAATATGAGTGCTGCTGGTGTCAATCTCAAGGCAAGCAAGACCAGGTGCCATGCCCAGACAGTCAGACGGAATCCATTTCTAATGCTCGATGGTTGGCGACGGAGCCTGCGAAAGTTCGCAGCTGCGACAGCTGGCGTACGATCCAGCGGGAAGGGAGCGATGTGGGTGGATATGCGTCTGTGCGATCCGCATGGACTCGCGAAGATGATCTGCGTGCGTTCGCGTTCCCCGCGACGCGGTCAAAGTGGGTGTTGTTTGTGTCGTACACGTCGTACATCTTCGTTGTTGAATGCGTCGCTTATAACGGTTCTGATTTTACCACTTAGGCTTTCTATCAAGGAATTTCTGCGTGTATTTATCAGCAAGAATCGTCCTTTGATTTTTTGATCCTGGAAGCCAGGTCCTTGCTACGGTCGCCATTGGCGCAGATGCAGTCTTGTGGGAGCCAGTGACGTCACAAGCCCTCGATATTGTCGAAGGTGTGGTGCACGGAAAGTCGGGCTGAGGCTGAAGCACCGTACCCTAACGCAGAAAACCACGCCGTGACACTGGAAGGGCATGAGCTACACCGCACGGCTGCAACATTTAGCAGCCAGGAATTTCTAGAACCAGGAATCAACCCAGTGAAAATCACGCCCTAAGTGCTGGTGCCTGTACCTCAGCTGCTTGCCAAAACAAAAGAGCCGTCGCAAAGTGGAGCACTGGAGTCTTCGTCTTTCCCACCCTTCCGCTCCCACTCGGACCAGCAGCAGATTTATTCTGGTGTCGGACCCTGCGATGCCGTGGGTTCAAGCAATAAATTGTTCCCGCGCGACCTTTCACTTCGCGTGATAGTTAGTTGTCTTGTTAACGCGTAGTCGTTTGAAAGCCAGGCTATTGACATTGGCGTTACCTTGCTCTTCCTCGAGACAAAAGCTTAGGGTAGAGTCTAGTCCATCGAGCCGGCAGTTTAAGGTTTCCTCGTTGCGTCCGAGCTGTCAAGATGCCGCCCAATCAAGAACAGCGGCCGTTTCGGCACATTATTCGGGATAGTAAATTCCCACTAAGCGATCTCACCTGTCTTCGTGTTTCACTATTTGCGACTATTAGTTTATCAACTAATAATATAATCAGTTGCTTAGGTTCCTGGAGTAAATCTTCCGCTCTTCTTTTACAACCTTATTTTGTTTGTTGGAATGTCTGACGTACACAGTCAACAGCAGAACAATTTTTTTGTTCAAATGTCGTCGTCACTGTTTGCCGGACATGTTGTGATGGCAAAACTATACAACGTCTGTATCGTCCTTCAAATCTACAAAATTGTCTCCGTTTGGATTATTTCGCATACACAATTTTCGCTTAACCGCGTTTCTCTTTCCTTCTCACACCGCTCAGGAATGCTGGTCGAGATGCTTCGAGGCGCCAAACAAGCGGGCGGTGGCGAATGGAAGGTGATTTTGTTCTCAGATAACGGTTTCCGTTTACTCTTTTATCGCTCGCTTCCTCTGAAGCTTGTTCCCACCTGCTGTGCAACGAGCCACCACTGGCATCCGCTGATGTCTAACATTTCTTTAAGTCGACTTAAAAGTCACGAGCCACCACTGGGATCCGATGTCAGACAATCTGTTCTATACTTTCGTTCTTTCATAATTTTTTCTCACTGCGAATTGATCCATGGAATGCGCTTCTTATCCCGTGTTTTTGGTTACCTAATTCTTGCAATTTTCCTGCTTTGGAGGCCTCAAATCCTTGCTTTTTTCTGTCCGGTGGTTCATGTCCCACTGTCCCTGCGTCCCTCTGCCCCTCTATTGCTTTGTTCTCCGCCCCTCTGTCGTCCGTCCCCCTGCTCATTTCCAGGTGCTCATCACGGACGCCTTCACGCTGCGCGTCATGTCAGCCTCCTGCAAGATGCCTGACGTCACAGAGGAAGGCATTTCCCGTAAGTCAACAAGGCTAGAGAATAAAGGTTGTCCTGGCCTTGTTGGATCTCTCGTGCGTCTTTTATTGCTAGTAGTCGCTTCCAATCATCCATGTTTCAACCCATGGCGCCTCTCTCTGTCTTCCCCACTCTTCCTGCCGCACGCTGCCAGTTGTGGAGGATATTAACAAGAGGCGCCAGCCATTGCCAGCCATGGAAGCGCTCTACTTCATCCAGCCCACCGCGTCCAGGTGCGTTCTTTGAGTCTACTCTAAAGTTGGCCCACATCAGTGCATCACTTTGATTGGACATTCGAATTGGTACGAGTTTCACCCTCGTTTCGACCGAGTTCCGCTCTACCTTCAACCTGGTTGCACTGTAGTCGTATGATGGTTCCGAATTTCACTCTCATTCATTCTAGCCTTTTCCTGCTCCCACGATGGGCTTCTCATCCTCTCCTTATCGAATCATTTTGTGCTGCACCGGCCTCTCTTGCTGCTGTGCGTTGTGTTGCCATACGCAGCATTGGACAGTTTATGAAGGACATGCAGGGAAAGTCGCCCCTCTACAAAAAGTACGTAGCCCAACGTGTGGCATGCCAGCTCATGCCACTTTGTGCCATGCCATGCCATCCTGTGCCATTCCATGTCACTCTATGCCATCCCATGCCATGTCGCGCCATGCGATGTCATGCCAGCACATGTGGAACCCATGTGAAATACATTTGAATGTCAGCCTTCCCCGTCTCCAAGGACAACTTGTATTGATTCTTCCTCCTCCCGCGCTCCGTGCATTTGATCCCCCATGAGCAGGGCACATGTGTATTTCAGCCGCCCTGTCTCCAAGGACAATCTGCAGCCCATCAAGGCGGACCCTCTGCTTCGCTCCCGCATTGCGGCTCTTAGAGAGGTGGGTCACCCTAAGGGGGGGGGGTGATTGTTGAAAGTGGGTCCAAGGCAGTGATTACCCTTAGACAGTTTACCTGCTGCTCCTCCCATGCGTCCCTTCTCCCTGCCATCCCTTCTCCCCGCCGTCCTTTCTCCCCGCCGTCCTTTCTCCCCGCCGTCCCTTCTCCCATCCGTCCGTTCTCCCATCCGAGCTGTGTGCGCACTCATCTCCACCAGATGAACCTGGAGGTGCCGACAATGGACATTCACGGCTATGTGACGGAGCACGACAGTGCGCTGGTGGAGCTGTTCAAGGAGGACATCAGCACTCTCCCCTCCTCCGTCTGTTTGTACCTGCCTGCCTGTATATGCTTTCACCTCCACCAGATGAACCTGGAGGTGCTCACAGTGGACATCCAGGGCTACGTAACGGAGCATGACAGCGCCCTGGTGGAGCTGTTCAAGGAGGACATCAGCACGCGCGAGTACGAGCTGCTCATCGACGACATCGCCACCCGCCTCTCCACCGTCTTCGCCTCTCTCAAGGTCAGTCGTTCTCTGGTAGGCAGCTGGCTGGTAGGCTGTGCTGCCAGGGTGACAGGGTGGCGGTGCGATCCTGAGGTGAGTGCGGAGTGTGCGGGTGGGCATGTATGCATACAGCTCCCCTAGCTGGCTAGGAGCAGTGGAGCACGACAGCGCCCTGGTGGAACTGTTCAAGGAGGACATCTGCACGCGCGAGTACGAGCTGCTCGTCGACGACATCACCACCCGTCTCTCCACTGTTTTCGCCTCCCTCAAGATCAGTTGGGAGCTGGTAGCTGGCCGGATGGTAGGAGCTTCCTAGTGTGGGTGCCTGACAGCATGAACACGAGGGGACACAGCAGAAAGCGCAGGTGAAGGGGGGGATTTGAAAGAGTTTTGAGGCGGGTCAGTGCTGTAGAGGTGGGGAGCATGATAGCGCTCTGGTGGAGCTGTTCAAGGAGGACATCAGCACGCGCGAGTACGAGCTGCTCATCGACGACATCACCACCCGCCTCTCCACTGTTATCGCCTCTCTCAAGGTCCGTTAGGGGCTGCTGGTAGGCTGGAGCTTTGGAAGGCTGGTAGGGTGGTCGGGTGGTAGGTAGTACCCCACACGCACACTCATGTAAACATTCCCCATATAGAAAATGCGTGAACTTAGACGACTTTTGAGGCGCCTCAAAAGTCGTCAAAAGTTCACGCGGTTTTTATAGAAAGGTAGGCTGGTAGGGTGGTCGGGTGGTAGTACCCCCCCTCACGCACACTCACGCTTCCCCTGACTGCAGGAGCCCCCAGCAGTGCGGTACAGAGCGGTCAAGGTGCCGGGCGCCGCGGTGAGCATGCAGCGGATGGTGTAGCAAAAGGTGTATCTTCCCTCTCCCATTCCGCTCCACCCTTCCCCCTCACGCATCCCCGCCCACTCACTCCCTCCCCCTCCCTCCCCCCCCCCCCCCCGCATGCGCACTCTACCTACCCTGACTGCAGGAGTTCCCTGCAGTGCGGTACAGAGCAGCCAAGGCGACGGGGGCAGCGGTGAGCATGCAGCGCATGCGCGAGCTGGTGTCCACCAAGCTGGCTGCTGCCGTGTGGGACCGGCTGAGCAAGTACAAGGCGTCCATCCAGGACTTCCCTAGCTCTGATACCTGCGACCTCCTCATCCTCGACCGCTCTGTGGATGCGGTGAGTCATGAGTCAGTGCTCACAGCACAGGACAGCACAGGACAGTACAGCACAGCACCGCACAGCACAGCTGCAGCGGCGTGGGACCGGCTGAGCAAGTACAAGGCGTCCATCCATGACTCCCCTAGCTCTGATACCTGCGACCTCCTCACCCTTGATCGGTCTATCGACGCGGTGAGTGTGGGTGGAGAGGAGTGGGGTGAGCCTTGGGTGGGTGGGAAGTGGTGGGACCGGCTGAGCAAGTACAAGGCGTCCATACAGGACTTCCCCTCCTCCGACACCTGCGACCTCCTCATCCTTGATCGGTCTATCGACGCGGTGAGTGTGTGATGGGACAGTGCTCACAGCGCCGCACAGCACCCCACAGCACAGCACAGCACAGCACCCCACAGCACAGCACAGCACAGCACCCCACAGCACAGCACAGCAGGGCTGTCGCTGTGTGGGACCGCCTGAGCAAGTATAATACGTCCATTCAGGGCTTTCCTTTCCCACGTCCGACACCTTCCTCCTCCTCGGCCGCTCATGGATGCGGTGAGTGCATCATGGTTCAGGGATGGGATGAATGGAGGGCTAGACTTTCCCGATGCCCCATGACATGGCATATCCTCTCAGGTGGCGCCCATCATCCATGACTGGACTCTAAAATATATGTTCATGCACCATGCCATGTCCCCTGCCACACTCGATGCCCTGCCCCATGCCGTATCCTCTCAGGTGGCGCCCATCATCCATGACTGGAGCTACGGTGGCATGTGCTTCGACCTGCTGCCTGTTGACGGGCAGAAGTACGAGTATGAGGTATGTGTCCCATGATGCATGTTACGTCGGCTCAATCTCAATCTAATGATGCATGATCTCATTAGGTGCGCACCTCCACAGCAGGTGACAGGCATAAGTGCGAACATGCGGCAAGTGTCTTCTGACACGTCCTCGTATGTGTGAGGCCACATGCTGTTATGTATGTTGTGTGCCGCTTTTGAAAGTTCTTCACCTCCCTGTCACTCTCCGTGCCCCCTGTGCCAATTGCTCTTTACGTGTGTATGCAACACAGGGGACAGGGCAGAGTGGCAAGCTGGAGAAGAGGACGAGCATGACCCTGTCTCTTTCTCTCTCTCTGTCCATGCATGCCCGCCATATCTCTAGAGCCTCGTGATGAAGTCTCAAACCTTCTCTGCTCGCCATGTGTGCCCCTCCCACCCGCACAGGTGACAGGGCAGAGCGGCAAGCCCGAGAAGAGGACCGTGCTGCTGGACGAGCATGACCCCGTCTGGCTGGAAGTGCGCGACCTCTTTCTTGCCGAGGTGTGTGCTCCTTCCTTGCATTCCACCCCGTGCCCGCATGCTCCTTCCTCCTTTGCTACTTCCTCTGACGTGTGAGGGTCGCGAAGGACGCTGCGCAAGCGATGGCAAAGCACTGCTGGATGAGCAGGACTCTGTCTGGCCGGAAGTCCGCGACCTCTTTCTCGCCGAGGTGCGTGCTCCTTCCTCCTTTGCTCCTTCCTCTAACATCTGAGGGGCGGGAAGGGCGCGGCACAAGCAATGGCAGAGCTCTACTGGACGAGCATGTCCCCGTCTGGCTGGAAGTGTGTGACCTCTTTCTAGCAGTGATGCGTGTCTCTCCTTCCCACACTGCCATGATGCCATCCATCCACTGCTTGAGGGAGAGGCGAGCAGGTTGTAGGCGTTTGTGAGCGTCGGGTGGGTGGATTGAATGTGTCCTTCCTCCTCTGGTTGCTCCTCTTGTGGGCTGGCCGCTGGTCTGAACAAGGAGCTCTGGACCACACTTTTTGTTATCATGTCTCCCTTGTATGGTTCTATTTGTTCCAGTTTCCTCCCTCATGCTCTGTTCTTACCCCGGTTGATGGCCCGTTGTTTCCGTGGTGTGCATGTGTGTTTCTCTCCTTGGTCTGCATGCACTACATCAGGCATACGAGAAGGTGAAGGAGGTGTTTGATCAGATCAGTGCCAAGACTTCCACCAGGTAAGAAAAGCCCTTCGCAGGCGATGCCGTGCCATGTCATGCCATGTTATGCCATGCCATGTCATGCCATGCCGTGCCATGTCATGCCATGCCGTGCCATGCCATGCCATGCCGTGCCATGCCATGCCATGCCGTGCCATCCCATGCCATGCCATGCCATGCCATGCCATGCCATGCCATGCTGTACCATGCTGTCCCATGCTGTGCCATGCCGTGCGATGCTGTGTCGTGCCATGCCAATGCATGCAGCATTAACATTTTGTGTTTTGCCAAGCCTTATTTATTTGTTGCCAATTTATTTACCCCTCTTCTATCCTGCCCTGGTGCATATGCTATGTGGTTAATGCTTCAACCCTACTTCCATCTTCTATCCCCCTTTTTGCATGCCTCGTTTCCCTCAGTGACCTCTCCGGCAAAGAGCTCCACAAGCTCGTACAGGTCAGTCTACTGCACTCAACCACTTCCCACCTTTGTCCCGGTTCCAGCAATCCTCTCTTTCCTATTGCCCTTTGTGTGTTAGTCCGCACCGTATCCCTCCCCTCCCCCTTTCACAGCATCTGAGTTTGAATGCTGATTCTAGTCCCGTGTGAACTCTCCTTCCGTCCTGCCTACCCCCTGCCTGCCCTGATGTGCCCTGCCCTGTCCCACCCTGCCTTCCCTCCCTTTCCCTGCCATGCCCTGCCTAACCCATACCTGCCCTGACTTGCGTTCCTGTCTGTTCCCATCTCTTCCTCCATTCTCTCCCTCTGCTGGTTCCAGTCGCTCTCCAAGTACCGGGAGCAGAAGGACAAGGTGGAGCTGCATATTAAGGTGTGTGTGTGTGAGTGTGAGTGAGTGAGTGAGTGTGTGTGTGCATGCATGCCTCCCTGTCTGTTCCAGTCCCTTTCCAAGTACCAGGAGTAGAAGGACAAGGTGGAGCTGCATATTATGGGTGTGTTTGGGGCGGAGGAAGGCGTTTGATGTGGGGAAGCTTCGTTTTTTTTTTTTTTTTTTTTTTTGTGCATATTTTTCCTTGTCCTCACTCCTGCTGCATCTGCACCTCCGCACTCCTCCCTTCTCCCCTCCCCCCGCCTCTTTCAATCTCCATATCTCCTCTTCTCTGAGCGAGTGTCTGAACGCGGACGGGGTGTTTGACGTGGGGAAGCTGGAGCAGGGCTGTGTGTTTGGCCCATTTACTCTTCCCCCTTTCCCCCTTTCCCCTCTCCGACCTTTCCTGTTTCCCCAGATCTCCTCCTCTCTGAGCGAGCGTCTGAATGCTGACGGCCTGTTTGACGTGGGGAAGCTGGAGCAGGGCTTCGTATTTGGTGACTCGGGAGCGAGCTACAAGGAGCTGGCGGCGCTGATCAACAAGTACCCGGACATGAGCACGGAGAACAAGATGCGGCTGCTCATGGTGTACGCTGCCATGCACCCCGAGAAGCTTGACCCCCAGAAGCAAAACTTCTGGATGAAGGTGCGTGGAGGGAGAGAGAATGTGGGCCGGGGTGGTGTGGAGGATACAGACAGTCATCAACCTGGAGTTTGTGATATTCATTCACAGCCCTTGAACGGCCTATGTTGAAATCACTAGTGAGAATTCTCAAAAGTGATTCCACCAACCTCATGATAGTCATTCACGGCCCGTGAATGGCCCGTCATGTCATTCACAGGCCCACGTTCTCCCATTCTCAACCTGTCATGTCAGGTCGTTGTCCTCACAGCTGGCGAAGCTAGACCAGGAGGACATGTGCATGCACAGTGATCAACCTGGAGTTCCTGATTGTGTTTCACCTCCCTTTCCCGCCTCCCCTTCCCATCTCCCCCCCATGCTCGCCCGCTTGTCCCCACAGCTGGCGAAGCTAGACCAGGAGGACATGCGGACGGTGATCAGCCTGTAGTCCTGGGGGTGACTGATGACTGCTCATGTCATGCTGTCTCATGGTGCCTCTCTGTCATCTTCCCGCCTACCCCATGCCCTCCCACTTTGTTTCCTTTCAGCTGGCGAAGCTAGACCAGGAGGACATGCGGACGGACGATGATCAACCTGGAGTTCCTGATACTGATTCACGACCCCTTGCCACCTCCCCTTCCCACCTGCCCCCCATGCTCGTCCGTTTGTCCCCATAGCTGGCGAAGCTAGACCAGGAGGACATGCGGACGGTGATCAACCTGGAGTTCCTGGGGGTGGGAATCAACAAGGACTCCTCCTCCGGCTTCTCCCTCTCTTTCGGCAGCCGCAAGGTGTGCAGTGCGGTTGCAAGGTTTGCATTCTGGTTGGCTATGGTGTCAGCATCAATGCAGGTCACCAGTGTCACTTTCTGAGATGATCACACGTATGTTTCTTCTCGAAACATACCATCATGGTCAGCCAGAGCTCATGCCGTGTGTGGTTGTACTCGTTATTGACTGCCCTGGTTCACAGGAGAAGGGCCGAGTGCGCAAGGAGAGGCGGACGTCAGAAGAGGCGTATGAGCTGTCTCGCTTCTACCCATTTGTCCAGGTGCGATGCTTGCACAGTAGTTGCAATACTGGTGCATTTTCTACCGTGTTTCTTATCCCCTCATCTCCCTCTTGCTTCTACCAGTTTGTCCAGGTAAAATGTTCACAGTGGTTGCAGTAGTGTTGCCTGAAGTGTTTGTGTGTGGGGGGGGGGAGATTGGGTTTTGGGGGGGGGGGGGGGTGGGGTGTGTCCGCACAGTAATGACAGTATCACCCCCCCTTCCTTATCTCCTCATCTCCCCACGACCCCACTTCCTAGGGATGAGCAAGGGGCGAACACGAACATGTTCGTGTTCGCCCCTACACGAACACAGCCGTTTGCCGAACCGAACTCTGTTCGGTTCGGCGCACACTTTTAGCAAAAACAGGTGTCCGCCGTTGGCCTGTGAAGGCGTGTTCGGGCGAACCTCGAACACGTTCGTTTTTGTCGCGGGGAAAATTGCAGCAGCGGCCCGAACACGAACGTGTTCGGGCGAACCTCGAACACTGTTGGCGAACACTTGAAGCAAAAAAAAAAACCTGTTCGGTTCGCCTCGAATGCTCAACCCTACCACTTCCCACCATCAGCATATTCTCGAGGATTTGGACGAGGGCAAGCTGTCCCTGCAGGACTACCCCTACGTGCAAGAGCCCTACTCTCCCTCCTCCTTCCTTACCTCCCCTTCCTTGACACCCCATTTCTACCCTCCTCTCCCCGTACTCCGACTCACCAGGACATCTTAGAGGATCTGGACGAGGGCAAGCTGTCCCTGCAGGACTACCCCTACGTGCAAGAGCCCGACTCCGCCCCCTCCGGCTCCGCCCGTCCCCGCGACCCTGTCTCCTCCCTCGGCTCTGCCTTCTCCGCCCTCAAACCCTCCTCCCACTCCGCAGGGGCAGCAGGGGAGAGCGTGGGGCAGCAGGGGCAGCAGATCTTGGATGAGGGCGGGCCGAGCTGTCTCTGCAGGATTGCTAGCCTCGCCTCACTCTTCCCTTTCCTTTCTTGACTCCCCATTCCTCCCCTTTCCCTCCATCCCGGCCCACCAGGACATCTTGGAAGACTTGGATGAGGGAAAGCTGTCCCTGCAGGACTACCCCTACGTGCAAGAGCCCAACTCCGCCCCTTCCGGCTCCGCCCGCCCCCGCGACCCCGTCTCCTCCCTCGGATCCGCCTTCTCCGCCCTCAAACCCTCCTCCGACTCTGGGGCAGCAGGGAAGGCCGGGGCGGGAGGTTCGGCGCGGCCTGAGAAGCCTGCCGGCTCGGCTCGGGCGGCCATGAGTGCGAGGAAGAAAGCCACTGGTGGGGCTGCTGCTGCTGCGCCGGCGGCGACGAGCGGGAGCAGCTTGGCCAGCTGGGCGTTGAAGGGCGTGGGGATGGAGGAGAAGAGCTCCAGGTGAGGAAAGGAGGTCCAAGTGAGGTACAGGGAATAAGGTGAGGTGGAGTGGAGGGGATAAGGTGAGTGTGAGGAAGAAGGCGACTGGTGGGGCTGCTGCTGCTCTGGCGGCTACGAGTGGGAGTAGTTTGGCGAGCTGGGCGTTGAAGGGCGTGGGGATGGAGGAGAAGAGCTCCAGGTGAGCTGGTTTGCGTCCCGGTTACAAGGTTTGCATTTGGGTTTCCAGGTTTGCATTACGGTGGAGAAGGTTTGCCCACTGGGCTGGTGATGCTGCTGCTGCTCTGCTGGGGACGACGAGTGGGAGTAACCTGGCGAGCTGGGCGTTGAAAGGTGTGGGGATGGAGGAGGAGCTCCAGGTGAGGTGGATTGGAGGGAATAAGGTGAGGTGAAGGTGTCAATCTGAGGTGGAGGGGTCAAGGTGAGGTGGAGGGGTCAAGGTGAGGTGGAGGGGTCAAGGTGAGGTGGAGGGGTCAAGGTGAGGTGGAGGGGTCAAGGTGAGTGCAAGGAAGAAGGCTACTGGTTCTGAGCGCCCCTCAGTCTCAGCTGCCAGTTCAGGCCAGAAGGTCGGCTCTTCTCCTCTATCATCCCCCCACTCTCTCCTCTCCCCTTGCTTTTCTCCCTCCTGCGCCTTTACTGCTTCCTGTTTCAGTTCTGAGCGTCCCTCAGTCTCAACTGCCAGTTCGGGCCAGAAGGTTGGCTCTCCTCCTCTATCGTCCCCGCACTCTCTCTTCTCCCCTTGATTTTCTCCCTCTTGCGCCTTTACTGCTTCCTGTTTCAGTTCCGAGCGTCCCTCAGTCTCAGCTGCCAGTTCAGGCCAGAAGGTCGGCTCTCCTCCTCCTCCTCTCTTGATCCCAGACTCTCCTCTCCAATTGGTTTTATTCCCCCCCCCCAACCTCTCAGTTCTGAGCGTCCCTCAGTCTCAGCGGCCAGTTCAGGCCTGAAGAGCCGGCGACTCTTCAGACACCTCTCTCTTTCCCCAGTCCTAACCTCACTTTCTCCTCTCCTCTCCCCTCGCTTTCCTCTCTCCCTCCCGCCTTCCCCGCTCAACCTCTCAGTTCTGAGCGCCCCTCAGTCTCGGCTGCCAGCTCAGGCCAGAAGGGTCGGCGGCTCTTTGTCTTCATCGTGGGCGGCATGAGTCGGTCCGAGGTGAGGGGGAGTGGGGTGGGATGCGGTGGGCGGGGGTGTGATGCTATGGGGTGGGATGTGATGCGGTGGTGTGGGATACGATGTGGTGGTATGTGATATGATGCGGTGGTATGGGATGCAATGCGATGGGATGTCACATTTTATCCATACAGCTCCACCAGGAAGAAATTCACTGCATTTACCATTCTCCCACAACGTATCCTTTTTTACCCCCATGTTTCATGCCCTATGCCCCATGCCCCACACCCCATGCCCATGACCCCACCCGGCAATTCCTCATCCCAGATCCGAGTGGCTCACATACTCTCACAGCAGCTGAACCGGGAGGTCATCATCGGGTCAACGTCGCTCGACACACCCAACAAGTTCATTCAAGTGAGACCCTCTTCTGCTGCTGCTCTTTTAGATTGACTTTTGAGTCGACTCGAAGGTCATTATCGGCTCTTTGTCACTCGACACACCCAACAAGTTCATTCAAGTGAGACTGAGACCCTCATGCAATTTCTACAGTATCAGGCACTCTAGCAGCTTTTGTTTGCTTGCTGCGCTGCTCATTTGCTGCTGCTAATCTTCTTCCTGCCGTGACATTACCTTGGTCCGTACTCTCTCTGTTGCTGTTTACCCCTTACCCAATCCATACCTCTTACTGTAACTCACCCATCCCTCCCCTTTCTTCCCTCGTTCCCATTCACCCATCCCATTTCTCCCCCCTTTTCCCATGTAGAAAATGAAACTCCTTAGGAGTTAACGCTCATGCGTAACAACATCCCGTAAGGTTACATGCTGTGCGTCATTATTACACCATGCGCAGTGCACTGTCTAGAGAAAAAGCAGGTTGTGTTGAGGGACCATGGAAGGACAAGGGCGTGTCAGCTGGGAAAAACTCTTCCTCCAGTTACAACAACCTACGGTAACAATACTGCCATATGATCTTCACACACAGGAATTCATTGAGTGGGCTGTTCGAGCCGCTGGCAGCTTGACATAATTTCATTAGTGTTTGAAATGCCTGATAGAACTTAGACTGCTGTAGTGATGAGTGAGTAGGAGTGGAAGCCTTTAAAGCCCGAGGTCAGCATGGTAAATTTTCAAGTTACTTGAAGTTGAAATAGGTTGTAGGTGAAGGTGTGCGAAACCTATTTCGGTTGTGTGGCTTTGGCGAGGTCAAGATTCCTCCGCGAGCAAGTGAGCATTTCGTGCACACCTAAGGGCGTGTTCCTACGGCCCCTTATCAGCCGACCTCTTGTCATACTTGTGCGGTTCCATGCGTTTCAGTGCGACCGAATGTTATTACATGTGTTCCAGTGCGTTGCGACGCGAATCTGACAAGAGGTTCGCCTGATAAAGGGCCGTAGGAACACGCCCTAACCTGCGAATACCACCAACCCAAAGCGAAAATTTTGTCGCACGAAGAGACACTTTAGCCGATCTGAAGGTGGTGAACAATATGGCTAGTGTGGCTTCACTTTATGTCTCCTCAACTCGATGCAACACGAAAAGGTAAAACAGAGCGCGTTTCAGCGCAACCTACTCAGACAGGTATCGGGACCGCCCGATGCCGACTAAGAAAGCGTATTAGAGGCAAGATTCACCTCATATTAGGGTTTCAACGATCATCGCAGGAACTGGTAACGACACAGCACAGACGTACAAGCGCTGGCGCCCATACGGGATGATATGGTGTTGATGACGCATTGGAGAAGGGAAATGTCATTCTGTAGACTACGGTAAGACCGTAGGAACTGGTCACCACAAGGAATGCTAGCTGTGGTACAGGCGTGACAACATTCCCAAACCCTGCAGATAGAAGAGAGCCCACGCTGTAGGGTCCCCACGAAACGCGCTCCGGGCGGGGACCAGAGCGCGAACCGGGCGAAGGAGCGGACCGCGCACCGGTCGAAGGTGTAGTTGCGCGTACCTCGCGATGCTCAGCACGCGGAACCGGCGACGAGCAGCGTGCGCACTGGGCGACGAGCAGCGCCCGCTCCGGGCGTCTAGCAGCACGCGCTCCGGGCGACGCACAGCGCGCGATGAGGTGCGTATTTCCCTGATTCCCCTCCTTTCCCCCCCTCATTCCCCTCCTTTCCCCCCTTGCATCCCATCCTTTCCAACCCTGATTCCCCACCTTTTTCCCTTTTCTTCCCCTCCTTTCCCCCCCTGATTCCCCTACTTTTCCCCCTTGCTGGGAGCAGTGGCGGTGGCAGCCGCGGTGGTGGCGGAGGGGGGATTGGTGGTGGCGGCGGTGGTGGGGACTTGGGTGGGGCCGGTGGTGGCCAGGGACAGCAGCAGCAGCACCAGCAGCTGCAGCAGCGTCAGCGCCAGACCCCCACTTCCCAGCAGCTTCATGACTGGTATGCCGGGCGTGGCGCGTCTGGGGGTCGTGGTCGCTGCCCCTATATCATTCGCGCAGGTCCCCGTGCTGGTCGCCAGTGCACAGGGTTTCACACTGAGTACCGCTGTTTGGCTCGGCTTAACGACGCCTGGCGCGTCAAGTTTCCTAATGCTACTGAGTTCCCCAACTGGGCAGACCTGCTTAGGCGTGATGTACCTATCTTTGATCTTGACTATGATGCTATCATTGCTGCAATGTATGCATTGACTGGTAGTGCTGAGGGTGACTGCTACTTGTGTGTGCCGCCTGACACCGGTATAGCCCTAGGTATAGCGCCTGCAGCTCTAGGTGCTTGTGAGTCTGCTCTCCCTGGTACTGAGTCCGCACAGGCCTTGGACACCTTTACACTTGACTCTGGTGCTTCCCGATGTTTCTTTCGCGACAGCACCACAGTCACTCCCCTCCCTGCACCTGTCCCTGTCTCCCTGGCTGACACCTCCGGGGGCCTAGTGCTTGCACGGTCTACCACTGTGCTTCCGTGTCCGGCAGTCCCGTCTGGTAAGCTGTCTTGTCTCCACCTCCCCTCGTTCTTTACGAACTTGGTGAGCAACGCCGTCCTTCAGGATCATTGGGTTGACACCTTTACTCTTGGAGGACAACGTGTGGCGATCTGCACATGCTCCCGGACCGGTCGTCACTTGGCCACGTTCACACGTGCGCCTGGGTCCAATCTGTACACCCTCACCACTACGCCGCGCTACGTCCATTTGTCTCTCCAGCTGTACGCGTCTGCTCAGGTGTCGCACGACACTCTCCTGTGGCACCGCCACCTTGGTCACCCCTCCCTGCCTCGCCTTCGTAGCATGCACTCTCGCTTCCTAGTCTCTGGCCTTCCCAGGTCTCTGCCTGCCCTCCCTCCCTCGCCTGCGCCGCCCTGCATTCCCTGCGTCGAGGGGCGGCAGCGCGCCGCTCCTCACTCCTCCTCGTTCCCTCCCACAGAGGCCCCCCTGTAGACTCTCCACCTGGACGTGTGGGTCCCAGCCCGCGTGCGTGGACAGGGCCACGAGCGGTACTTCCTGCTGGTCGTCGACGACTATACGCGTTACACCACGGTCTTCCCCTTGCAGCGCAAGCGGGAGGTCCCTGATGTTTTGATCCCCTGGATCCGCGCTGTTCGTCTCCAGCTCCGCGAGCGGTTCCAGTCGGACTTTCCTGTCTTGCGTCTGCACTCTGACAGGGGTGGTGAGTTCTCCTAAGGCCTCTTGGCAACCTTCTGTGCGGAGCACGGCATCCGCCAGACGTTCACGCTTCCGGCCTCTTCGCAGCAAAATGGGGTTGCTGAGCGCTGCATTGGCTTAGTCATGAAGGTCGCTCGTACCTCCATGATCCATGCGGCTGCCCCCCATATTCTGTGGCCGTTTGCGGTCCGGTACGTCGCGCATCAGCTCAACCTCTGGCCCCGTGTCTCCTTGACGGAGACCTCGCCCACACTGCTGTGGACGGGGAAGGTTGGCGATGCGTCACGTTTCCGCGTCTTGGGTGCTCGTGCCTTTGTCCGCGATACCACTGCGAACAAGCTCTCCGCTCGCGCCATTCCCCGCGTCTTCATTGGCTTTGTCCCTGACGCTTTTGGCTGGCAGTTTTACGACCCCGCCTCGCGCCGTGTCTTTTCGTCTCAGGACGTCACATTTGACGAGTCCGTCCCCTTTTACCGTCACTTTCCCTACCGCACTGCCCCTCGCCCCCCCCCCGCCGCTCTTTCTCGCCCCAGGGCCTCCCCAGGTAGACCCCCTCCCCGCACCAGGTCCTGCTCTTTCAGGTATTTCTCAGGTAGACCCTCCCGTGCATGCGCCTGCTGAGGTCACTGGTGACTCAGGTCCTGTTGGGGGTGGTGTTGTCTTTGGGGGTACTGGGCCTGGGGTTGCGGAGCGTGGGGGTGCGGAGCTTGGGGGTGCTGAGCCTGGGGGTGCGGAGCTTGGGGGTGCTGAGCCTGGGGGTGCGGAGCCTGCGCGTGAGGACCCAGGATGTGTTGAGCCGGGGGGTGCGGAGTCTGGGGGCGCTGAGCCTGAGCGTGAGGAGCCTGGAGGTGCTGAGCCTGTGCGTGAGGAGCTTGGAGTTCCTGAGCCTCGGGGTGCTGTGTCTGGAGGTGCTGATCCCGAGCGTGAGGAGCATGAGGGTATTGAATCTGGGGGTGCAACGCCTAAGGGTTCTGAGTCTACTGCTGCGCGGTCTCCTTGGAGTAGCCGCCTTCGTTCGCGTGTGCCTCTCACCTCACAGCAGCTGCACAACTGGTACGGTCGTCGTTAGGGTTGCGCTTCTGGAGCTCGGGGCTCTGCTACTGGAGGTACTTCTGCTGACGTCACTGGAGCTGGGAGTGGTGCTGGTCCCGGAGGTGCTCGTACTGGAGGTACTGGAGCTGTTGGGGCTGGAGGTGCTGCTGAGCCTGAGGGTGCTACTGCTGGAGACCCTGGGTCTGGGGGTGCTGCTGCTGGAGACACTGAGACTGGAGACCCTGGGACTGGAGGTGCCGGTTCTGGGGGTGCTGCTGCTGGTGGAGCTGGTCCTAGAGGAGCTGGCTCTGAGGGTTCTGGAGCTGCTGGAGGTGCTGGAGCTGCTAGGGGTACTGGAGCTGCTGGTGCTGGTGGCACTGCACAGCCGCGCCTGTTCTTCGCTCCACCGTCTCCGTCGTCTCAGCCACCGCCTGACTCTGTACTTCGCCAGGTTCTTAGTCTCCCTTCGTCTACTGGTCTTCTATTCCAGCCTGGCTCACTGTTGCCTGCTCCTTCTCCTTACGCTTAGCAAACAGGGGGTCTTACTGAGCGTCGTGAGCCTGCGTCGCGTCCTGTCTAGCCTGTCCGTTCTGGTCGTTCCCGTCGTCGTGTTCCTCGTCCGCGTCAACCGGCTGTTCCCGGCACCCACCTCGTAGTCCATCGTCCTTCCTCTCCTCCGCAGCGTGTTCCTCTGCCGTCTCCTGCATCTTCTCTGCCTGTCGTTGCGGACCCTGCGTCTGACCGATTTCGTACTGAGCACCCTACTCTCACGCGTCTGTTAGCCACTGTGGTCACTGACACGTCGTTGGTGTCAGCTGCTGCGTCTGCCTTTGTAGCTGAGCTGGTTGACTTTGCTGCTGCCTGTCGTCTAGACTACGCTGCTAGTCTTGTTGCTGAGTCTGAGTCTGTCTGTCCTCCGTCCGTCGGGGGTGAGTGTGCTCTGGGCACGGACGTCCTTGAGGACAGACAAGAGGACCTTGAGTGTCGTGCGGCCGTTGCGCCTCATCTCGTGGCCATGCTGCTTGCCCCTGAGGGAGAGCCGGATGCACCAGGCAGCCCGACCCCGCGTTCTTACGCTGAGGCGATCGTGGATGAGTACTCCTCTCAGTGGCAGACAGCCATGGACGCAGAGATGGCATCCTGGAAGTCCACAGACACGTACGTCGACGAGGTTCCCCCTCCTGGGGCGAACATCGTCGATGGCATGTGGATTTTCAGGGTGAAACAGCCGCCAGGTTCTTCGCCCGTCTTCAAGGCTCGTTACGTTGCTCGAGGCTTCAGTGAGCGGGAGGGAGTTGACTTCTTCCAAACTTTCTCCCCCACCCAGAAGATGACCACTCTTCGGGTGCTGCTGCACGTTGTTGCTCAGCATGACTATGAGCTTCACTCGCTTGACTTCAGCACAGCTTTCTTACGGGGTAGCCTGCACGAGGAGATCTGGCTGCGCTGCCCACCTGGCTTCACTAGGTCGTTCCAACCTGGTACCCAGTGGAGCCTCTAGCGGCCGCTCTACGATCTCCGCCAGGCGCCACGTGAGTGGCACGACACACTGAGGACGACACTTGCGGCTCTTGGGTTTGCTCCTTCGACTGCTGACCCGTCGCTGTTTCTGCGCACCGACACTTCGCTGCAGCCGTTCGACATCCTCGTGTACGTCGACGACTTGGTCTTTGCCACTGTTGAGACTGAGGCTCTCGCCGTGATGATGTCGGAGCTGCAGAAGAGACACACGTGCACAGACCTGGGTGAGCTGCGCAGTTACCTTGGCTTGCAGATCACCCGGGACAGAGCACGCCGCACCATCACACTCACTCAGTCACATATGGTGCAGCAGGTCTTTCAGTGCTTCGGCTTCACGTGGTCCTCGGCACAGGCCACTCCTCTGGCTACAAGTCACTCGCTCTCAGCTCTACCTTCAGACGAGTCCGTAGAGCCGAGTGGTCCTTACCCAGAGCTAGTTGGCTGCCGCATGTACCTGATGACCTGCACTCGTTCTGACCTCGCGTACCCTCTTGGCCTTCTGGCTCGCTACGTGGCTCCTGGTCGGCACCGAAAGGTGCATTCGGAAGCTGCTAAGAGGGTACTGCGCTACTTGTGCAGTACATTGGGCATGGGGCTCGTGCTTGGAGGACGGGGCGACGTTGTCCTCAATGGTCACTCAGACGCTTCTTGGGTTGACGACCAGGCTACGCAGCGGTCGTCACAGGGTTACACCTTTAGTCTTGGCTCTGGCTCTGTTTCTTGGCAGTCTATGCGCTCGTCTTCTGTTCTCGGCTCCAGTTGTGAGGCTGAGATCTACGCCACAGCCATGGCTGTACAGGAGTTACGCTGGCTCACCTACCTGCTGACCGACTTGGGAGAGCCGCCTCGTTCTCCTCTAGTTCTGTACGTCGACAACAAGGCAGCCATTGCCTTGTGTCAGGAGCACAAACTTGAGCGCAAAACGAAGCACATCGCTCTGCGTTACTTCCTGGCTCGAGAGTTGCAGCAGTGGGGTCAGCTTCGTCTTGCTCACGTGGCCACTCGGGCCAACACTGCTGATATATTCACCAAGGCACTTCCGTCTGGTGATCATCAGCGCTTTTGTACTTTGTTGGGCCTTGTGCCTACGTTTCCACACTTGCTGTGGACTCTGCTTGTACTGTCATTGATATATATAGATATATATGTATATATATATATATATATATATATTCCTGCATGCTTGCTCTTGCTAGGTAGATATCACTGTACTGTTCTTGTTGCATATATACCTCTGCATGTGAACTGGCCTTGTGGTCTTTTTGCTTGTGCTCAGTGTGTGTGGTGACGTTGTGATCCACCCTGAGCTTGCTTTGCTATTCTTGACTGGTCTTGTGACCTCTTGCTCTCCCCCACTTTGCCTATGGGGGTGTGTCAAACATACTGTATGCATATGTTATATTTGTGGGTAAGCTGTAGTGGGGTAGATACTGTGGGGTACAACCCCTTAGGTTTCCTCCTTGTACCAAAACCTCTCCATAGTCAAAGTCATTCCTGCCTGGTTTCTAAGACGTCCCTCCTTTTCCCCCTTGCTTCCCCCCCTTTCCCCCATTGCTTCCCCTCCCTTTTGCCCCTACTTCCCCTCCTTTCCCCCCCTCCATCCCCTCCCTTTCCCCCTTGCTTCCCCTTCTTTTCCCCCCCTGCTTCCCCTCCTTTCTCCCCCTGCGTCCCCTCCTTTCCCCCCTTGCTTCCCCTCCTTTCCCCCCTTGCTTCCCCTCCTTTCCCCCCCTGCTTCCCCTCCTTTCCGCCCCTGCTTCCCCTCCTTTTCCCCCTTGCGTCCCCTCCTTCCCCCCCCTGATTACCCTCCTTTCCCCTCCTTTCTTCCCCTCCTTTCCCCCCCTGCTTCCCCTCCTTCCCCCCCCCTACTTCGCCTCCTTTCTCCCCCTGCTTCCCCTCCTTTCTCCCCCTTGCTTCCCCTCATTTCCCCGCCTGCTTCCCCTCATTTCCTCCCGTGCTTCCCCTCATTTCCCCACCTGCCTCCCTTATTCTCCCCCCTGCTTTCCATTAAGGTCCCCCCTTGCTTACTCTTCCTTTCCCCGTGCTTGCAATCCTCCCCCCTGCTCACCCCTCCTTCCTCTCCAGTTTACCCTCTGTTTCTTCTCTCCCTTCTAGCCTTTTTTCCTTGACAACACAGCACAACGGACATCCAGCCCCCGTGTTCTTGACCTTGAGTGGTGCTCTTTGCAGCTTGGAGGAACCACATAGGTAGAGCGGAGATCCGGCCTTTTGTGGCACTAGTGTATCAATCAAACGACCCGATAGCATATTACATCAGTTCGACTTTCAGTGCATGCAAAGATTGATGACTTAGATAACGTCTGTACCTTGCAACAGCTTCTTTCCCATCTCTGGATAAAGCACTGTTACATGATGCAACTAGGCACAGCATTGAGGTCCGCAACTTGTGAAGTGTGTTCTACTCATTTCAAGATACATGTGATGTGAGGGTTGCCCTTTGCTCTAGCTGTTTGAGGGTTCGCTCAACACTTTCTTGTGCCGGCTGCTGCTCTCTCTACGCTGCCAAACTCCTCTGAGCCCGAACTAGTCCTGCTTGACGAGAGAACAAAGGGACGAGAGATGGGAAGACAAGGTGGAAAGGTGGTAAGGCAGGAAAGGAAGGCGAGGCAAGCAAGGCAGGCAGGGGGAGAGACCAGGAAAGGAAGAAGGGAAACAGAGCGGAATGGAGTGGGCACTGGGCACTCACCTCGTGATGGGAGACTAGGTTTTATTCTGGAGAGGGCAAATGGGAAAAGGCTGGAAGTAAACCCTCCCCCCCTCTGTCCCTTCCCCCCTGTCCCTCCCCCTCTGTCCCTCCCCCCCTGTCCCTCCCCCTCTGTCCATCCCCCTCTGCCCCTCCCCCTCTGTCCATCCCCCTCTGTCCCTCCTCCCCTCTGTCGTTCCCATCCTCTACTTGCTCTTGGGATCTGGCCGGCCCTTCAGCTATCATATCCCTCTCACTCCCCTCAGCCCCACCTGCCATGTGGCTCTCACCCATCGATCCCCTCATCTCATCCCCTGGGTTCACCTGGCGTGTGCCTCTGCCCTGGTGGGAAGTGGGGCAGAAGGTGGGGGTAACCAGGGCAGAGCGCGGGAGAAAGCGGGACGGGGGAGGGGGGGGGAAGAAGCAGGGCAGGGGTTGGGAAGAAGGAGGGCAGAGGATGGGGGGAAGCAGGAGAGAGGGTGGGAGGAAGAAGGGCAGAGGATTGTGGAAAACAGGGAAGAGCATGGGGAGAATCAGGGAAGAGGGTGGGGGGGAGCTGGGGAGAAGATGGGGGTAAGTAGGGGAGAGGTAAGCAGTGGGAGGGAGGGGTATGAATGGGGAGAAGGAGGGTGATCATTGGGGGGAGGGAAGGGAGGGTGACAAATGTGCGAGTTGGGAAAGTGAGTGCGACGAGCAGCAGATGGGAGGGCGACGCGGGGAAGCGCGGGAGACGGGGAAAGTGAGGGAGACGGTGAATGCAAGGGCGTCGGGGAATGAGAGGGCAACTGGAATAGTGGGGGAATATAGGGGGTGTATGTGGGGGAAAGGAGAGCGGTAAGTGGGAGAATGCAAGGGTGATTGTGGGGGAAAGGGGGGGGGGAGTGGGGGAATAGAGGGGTGTATGTGGAGGAAAGCAGGGAGGCGAGGACGGAAGGAAGGGTGATAAGTGGCGAGGGAAGGGAGTAAGGAAGGGGAGGGGATGGAGGGAGAAGGGTGCCCGAGCTGGTAAGTTGGGATCAGGGTGGGGCATGGGGCGAGTGTGTGACGAGTCAATGCTGGGAAACGACGGGCGGATGGGGCGTGAGGGGTTGTGGTATGTGGTGCATAGGAGGGTAAGTTGGGGGAAGGCGGATGGTGGGTGGGTGTTTAGGCGGGACGTTTGAGAGAGCAGTAAAGCGGGAGTGAGGAAGAGGGAAAAAGGGAATGCGGGAAAGAATGGGAGGGGGTTTGTGGGAAAATACGGGCGGACATGTGCGGGGGAAGGTGGTGTGGACTGGGAGGCGGGGACGACGACTGGCGAGGGCGTTGAGGAGATGAGGGGAAGCGCGACGAGGGGAAGCGCGGTGACGGAAGCGAGGGCGGTTGACGAGGGAAGCGCGGTTGACGGGGAAAGTGTGGTTGACACGGGGAAGTGCGTTTGACGTGCGGAAGCGCGGATGGGGGCGCGGAACACGGGTGACGAGGAGGCGAGGGCGACGACGGGAAGCGAGGGCGGCGAGGGACGACGAGGGTGATGAGGGGAAGCGCGGGCGATGAGGGGAAATGCGGGCGATGAGGGGGAGCGCGGGCGACTAAGGGAGGCGAGGGCTGCGAGGGGGATGAGGGGAAGCGCGGAATGTTTAGCGTCAGCGACGAGGGGGAACATATGCGACCAGCGGCAGCGTCCTAAACGCGAACCTGAACGGCAGGCGCGTAAGTGACCCATGCCTAAAAAGATAGGATCATAACACGAGGCTGAACCGCAACAAGTGTGAGTCATGCGAGCCTGCGTGCGCGGCGCGAGTAATGTGATGGCGTAAATCGATCGCTAACGTAAGTGACGGACGCTTGTGGGGGTATCACACGAGATCGGCAACGTGAGGCTCGAATGGGAGCGAGCTCTCACTAACATGGTCGAGCTTGGTATGTATATTTCTTTCCAAGGATGAACCCTAGTAGTGCTAGTTTTTGCCTGGGGAACCTCCTAGTCTATGAGAACGACTTGGTTTCCAAGCTATGTGACTGGTGAACAGTGCATATCGTGTGCGATCATCGCTTCAGGTTATGTCTTTGGGCACAGAAACCAATCGGGATCCGTCGTCGCAAGACGATGGCCCGGAGTTGCGAGGGTTCTTTGAACGCAAGCAGGGTAACCCTGTTTTTGGCGACTTCAGGTTCAAGAATCTTGAACTTGAAAAAAACCATATTGTACTCGGGCTGATCTTGTGGCAGAGGAAATGGAACCATTTTTCTAGTTATTTCTGGTGCACAATCACTGGATGTATAATGTAATCGGGATTGGGGAGAAACTCGTGTAAACGTGTACTTATGATTAGCTCTTATGAAACGATGCGTCTTTCACAATGCACGAGATACCCTTATGAGCAACCCCGATATAATACAGCTCATGGAGCCGACACGAGGCTTCAATATGAAGCTCGACAAGTCGCGACCAAGGTCATTCAAACTGGCTACCAGACAAAAGCAGGGAGTGGCTGCGTCGGGCTTGGTTCGGACGCAGTCGGTGTGAGCACGGACATAGGGCTGGGGCCGCCCGCTGCTTCCCTCGATACAGGCACAGCGTCCTTCACCATAAGGGAACATTCGTTAGCAACACGAAGTGGCCCCCTGAAATCCACCACAAACTCTGGAATATCCAAAACCGCGTCACAAGCTGCTGGAAGAGGTTCGGTACGAGGTTCAGGACAAACGAGAGCGACGAGGCTCGACCAGAGGGAAGAAGTGTCGACAGAGCAGCCGCACGATTCGCGATATCTGCGATCCAGATTCGGCGATTGGAGGTCGAAGTCGCTGAACTCGGATCTACTCAAGATGTGCTCTGCGACAGGTCGCTCTGCGACAGACGACGTCGCAAATCGCAAGCTCTGCTTTCTGTCGTTCACCCCACAGCCGGAAAGTGAAATGCCGTGCCCCATACCCATCCCCATCCCTGCGCCCATCCCCGTATTCCTCCCCCGATAATGCGCGCCCGAGATCATCCCCCCATTCAGGCGGCTTCCGCAACCTGGCGCAGATTCCGCCGGCTCCGGCAGCCCCGTCACTGGCGCACTGGCGCGCGGGGGCTCCGGATCGTCCCGCCAGAGCCGCCTTCTCTGTCTGTCCTGCGGCTGCGGCTGCGGCGGCGGCTCTTGCGGCGACTCCTGCGGCTGCGACGTCGGGACGGGTTTCTGGAAGAAGAAAAACGGAGTGGGGGAAAGCGGAGGCGGAACTGTCTCCGGTATCGCGAGCATGCAGGGGCGCGGCTTCCGCCCGAGAGGAGGATAGGGATTGTGTGAGAAGGCGAGTGTGCTAGAATCGAATTCCATTTGCGCGTCGCAGTAAGGCGCCATGGCTGTGAGAGGTTTCCGCACGAAGGTGGATGAGATATTGCAAATTATCGAGGCGCCTCGATTGACGGGGAATCTTCTGGACGTGGAAGAGAGTTACTGATCAGAAAGTTAGGACGCTTGATGTGGCTGGAAATGAAGCCGAGAATGGGTTTGAATAAGTGAGGGTGATGATGCGTCAGGAGAACGCCGAGTGTCTGACTGCGTTGTCCGACAGCTGTACAGAAAGGTAAAAGCTGAAATGGTTCTGTTGAGCTTTGAGAGATCAACTTTTGATGGCAGTGCTTGTTCAGGTGGTTGGTTGTGGGAAGGTGGTTGAGAGCTGTTGCCTTCAGGGCAGTGGGGGTGAGCTGGGGGTGTAGGTGCAATGGGCGTAGCGATCAATTCGACGCAACATGCTTGTTTCTGGGACCACCTGACCTGGAACGACGAGATCAGACGCGGAACGGAACGCGTTCCATCCATCCAGGGGGCGGCGCGAAGTCCCGAAACGAAAGATTTTGAGTCGACATGAGTGGAACGAACGAACAAAAACGGAACGAACGGAACAAATGAACGAAGCAACGAACAAAGCGAGCTGGCTGGACTAACTGTAGCTTGTACGTCAGAGAGTGCGCGAGCCAGAAGTTTGCCACTGTAGCTTGGTTTGCCTCGACGATCTCCCCCCTCTCTCGCCCATACCGAAGTGAGTCGCAGCAGAAATTGTAACGCAGTCAATCGACGGACAAACAACATCTCAGACTCTCTCAATTGACCGCTGGATGTAAGCTTATGCGGCCATTATCTACGATACTCAGATTTTTCCTGAGCGCGTTCTCAGGTGTAATCACCAACAGAAACACAGTTTTTTGATATAGTGTGAAGCTATTCTGTTTCGTGTTTGTACAGAGTCCCTCAAAAAAGGAAGTCTAGCACTTCCAAAAAAATAATATAATGCCCGTAGCGAACCTATATGTTTTCCGGGAAGGATCAACCCTAAACACCGAAAGCCTCCAAATATTTTGGAAAACATATTGCAGCCCACATGACAGAAAAAATAATACCCACCTCGGAAAGGGATGCGACTCGGGAGGCATCAACCCTAAAAACAATGCCCATTTCCGTGTCTAGGGTTGACCCCTCTCGAAAATGCATCCAGGTTCCGTAGGGGTTTTTTTTTTTTTCTGCCATGCCCGAATAGGTCTCGGTAGCGTCGTCTAGTCCTTTCGGTAGCGTTGTTTAGCGGTCGGTTGCGCTACTGAGTACTACCAAGTGAATTATATGGGCTTCATTCTCTTACTACCTTAATTTCCGTAGATATATCCAAATCGGAAGGGTAAACTGGATGGTTCGGTTTTTGTAACTTCCTAATGAGTTCGACCAGCGTGAGAAATATGACTAAAAAGCGACGACCAATCAACGTTGAGAAAGTTAAGGTTGGTTCTACCTGAGAACACGCTCAGGCAAAATCTGAGTATCGGAGATAATGGCTGAAGTTTATGGCACGCGCCACTGATGACAGTGGTCGCGCAGCCAAACGTCGGTGAAATTTGAGCCTCCTATTGGTTGCTCTTCTGACCCAAACCAGGCTGGTTCATATGGGCTTGTCGCCACCTAGAACGATTGCCATGCCAGTCGGCCAGTGGTTTGGGGAAGCAGCCAACTTCATACATACTCAGATTAGTCCCGAGCAGGTTCTCAGGTGTAATCAAGCTGGACTTTCTCAACTTTGATTGGTCGTCGCTGTTTAGTCACATTGTTTACGCTGGTCGAAATCTTTAGGAAGTGACAAATATATAACTATCTAGTTTGCCCTCCCGACCTGGATTTGTTAAATTAGTTCGTAAATTCACGACAGGGCAGAAAAACTAAACCCCGAAAGAATCTGGACGAATTTTCGGGCGGGATCATCCCTAAACACGAGAATGGGCATTGTTTTTACGGTTGATGCCTCCCGAGTCGCATCCCATTCCGATTTGGTTTTATTTTTTGGGGTCAAGAGGGTGCAATATATTTCTCCTGAAGTGGGCGGCTTCCCGTATTTAGGGTTGATCTGTCTCGAAATTCATCTAGATTCGCTACAAGTTTTTTTTTTCAGGTGGTGCATTTTATGTAGTGACTGTATTTAGAGAACAGCAAGAAACACTCACTACTATATCGCGAAATTGTGTTTCTGTTGGTGATTACACCTGAGAACCCGCTCGGGAATACTTTGAGTATCTATGATATTGGCCGTTTGGGGAAGGGTGTTCGTCATGGCAGCAGACATCTCCCATTGGTTCACATGCACACATCAGGCTGATGAGATGAGCGACACTGTGACTGTGCTGGAGTGTAGTGTTCGTCGCGCCGCCTCTGGTGTGAGAAAACCAACCTGCGGCGCGAGTGCGGGCGTCATGTGTGCTAGAGAAGCCCCAAATCTTCAGGGGCAAGCGTACAGTTGTTGATTGAAGATCGAACTCGATAGAATTCTGCGGTCAAGCGAATTCGTTTCCAGCATGGGGCAATTGTTCGGAGTAGCGATGAAAAGGCCCATCTTTCCAGCCGTTCTCTACGCCAATACCAAAAAATATTCAGCCAGGGGATTACAACAGAGACTTCGTCAGAGTTTTGGCAAAATATCCGTTTCAAGGAGTTCGGTTCTAGTGCAAACACTTCTCCAACTACTGCACTGCTGTTACCATATAGCATCTTCTTCGTATGCTCTACTTAGTGCATTCACTTCAGTAAACCCAAACTCATCACTTGCGGCAGATACAACATACACTTCTATAGTCTCAGATCGAGGAGCCAGACGGTTTTACTACCACCACAGGACAAGGGGCGTGGTTGACGCAAAAATCTGAAACACTCCCGATAAGCATCCTGCGGGGCGCACAAAATAAGCACATTATGCTAGAGAGTTCCGAAATTTTGAAGCACCAATATACGGTACTCTTTTCATTTTAACAACTGAGATAGGCTCAAATTATGACAACCGCACGTCCTTCACACTCACCTCTTCACCGGCCCCATTCCCCGGCTGCCCAGGATCAACACGTCAGCATCTGTATCCGCCACCTCAGACACGATCCGCTCCCGCGGGTCTGCATCGCGCACAACCCTCACCTCGCACTGCAGCTGGAATGACAGAGGGGAAGTTGAGTTTGGGTTGTGGGACGTGATGGGTTGTGGGACGTGATGGGTGGAAAGTGGTGTGAGGGAAGTGATGGTTGGGAAGTACTGGGTGGAAGGTAAATTTTTAGTCCAACACAATCAAACTCTCACAAACGCCAACTCTTGGAAAATACACTCCCAACTCCCCACTGCCAGCATCCTTCCTCACCTACATCCGCTCAGGCAGAGCCTCACCTCTACATTGGAGCATCGTTGCAGCAGCAGTCGCTCGAGGCGCTTAAAAACCATCGGACAGGTAAACTCTCACCTCCGCGTTGGAGCATCGTTGCAGCAGCAGTCGCTTGAGGCGCTTAAAAACCATCGGACAGGCAAACTCTCACCTCCGCGTTGGAGCAGCGCTGCAGCAGCAGTCTCTTGAGCTCCGCGTTGACAGCGCTCTGCCGCTCCTCCGTGCGCGCAAGGAGCTGATCCATGGCCGCCTCACTCATCGTCGTGTCGCCCAGAGCTGCTTGGCCGAGGCCCGGGGAGTGGTTGGTGGGGTGGTTGTGGGAATGGTTGTTGGGACCATTGTTGGGAGAATTGTTGGAGTGGTTGTTGGGATGGTGGTGGTTGGGGGTGTGGTGCAGCAGGGATTCAGGAAGAGGTGGCAGGAGGGGGAAGAGGGAGTGGAATGGGGTTAGGCACGGTTGATGCAGCAACTCGTCCACTGTAGCAACTGCAGCATCACTCTCAGCAGCAGCAGCAGCGTCAGCAGCAGAGGCAGCATCGGATGCAGTCGCCACATCTGCAGCAGCATTAGAAGCATCAACCCGGTGAATGTTAGCCGAGCTGCTGCTACTGCTGCTACTGCTGCTGCTGCTGCCGTTACCAGCAGCACCCGGATCAGAATCCCAGGCTGCACATCAGCAAGAACAAGGGAAAAAGACCCTCGTATACTTTCAGTGAAACACAATCCACCGTCCCCCCTCATACCCTCATACAAAAGCCAGTCTCCCCCCACACACTTGACGGCACCCCTGAACTAAACCTGTGAATGTCCCGTTACCTGACAAGTAACCTATGGAACCAGGTGAAGCATTGCAACTTGACGTCGCCATTCCTGACGAGCTTTGAGTCGACTCAAAACTGGTATGCTATGTAATTAAGTAACCATTTCAACCAGGCCTTGCTGTTTTGGACGTTACCTGCGTAGATTCCGGGAGCAGTGAGGGCCTCGGTTGGCGATTGCACATGCAGCATCGTGACCAGATCGGACGGTCGCAAATGATTCTCGATAGCCCAATCCACGGCGTGCAAGCTGTTGAGCAGGCGAATGCATGGATGACATCACAGCACAGGAGAGAGAAGAAAGAGTTTTTAAGATGTCTGTGACCTCGGATGTATTATGACAATGCGACACAGGAAAGTGAATGCGGAGGTTTCTTTAAATGTCTCTGAACCCGAATGCATGGATGACTTCACGACACACGAGGGCGAAGGTGGTTGGAGAAAGCATGAGGAGACGACGCGGGAAAATATGTTTTTTAAGATCTCGACTCACCTATCTCGACTGTGATCCACTGCTACAATCACTCGCCGCTGCTCGCCGTCCGCCGCAGATCCCGCCGCATCCCCCGCCGAGCCTCCCTTTCCGCTTTTACCCGCGGAATCCCCGCGGTCGCGACTGCTTTCCGCGGCTACTGCGCCGCGAGGAGCGCCGGCGGAGGAGGAGGAGGTGGTGGAGGCGGAGGCGCGCTGGCAGGAGGAGGCGGCGACAATCCCGAGGGCCAGCGACACGCCAGGTGCAGCAAAGCGAAACATGACTGGCGCGACTAAAACGAGACCGCAACACGTCCTGGACAGAAAAAGGATGCAGCTTGGGTTGAATCGGTCAGAAGAGAATGTCTAATGTAACGACTTGTTCATGAAGCTTATTTGCCAATGCTTGATCCACGCTTAACTCACGAACCAGGAAACGACGTCTCTACTACAGATGCCAATCGTTGGATTTACACGGCAGAACCAATGGAACGAGAGTCGGCTAAGAGAAACTTTATTGCTGGGACACCATTGCCTCGAGGAACAATGCTATGGCTGGGACTACTTTCTTGATACTTCAGTCAGGATCGGAACTAGGCTAGAGCAAAATGAGAGGTGCTGCGGAAGAAATCTAGGTTGTTGTGTCATAATGCGAAGCACGAAAACCGTTACCGACTTAAAACTACAGCACGGTAAGAAACGGTTTATTTCGGTTTAGAGTGTTTCCGAGGCTTTCAGTGGATTTCGCCTTCGGTTTGAAGCAGAAACACTGGTATGCTCTTCCTCGCTTCACGGCGTGCTCTGGGCTTGTCAGATTTTTCAGCCGCGTATGACGTGGAACGATATGGGTTGTGACGGTGCAGATATTTCAAATCTGCCTCGTTGGAATCACGGTCAGTCAGAGAGGGTATTCTACACAATTACCATAATTGAACACCCGCTCAGGATTTTATCCTGAAACTTTATTTGATAGCCCTGCATGGTGATTGGACACATCATTATTGCATGGAAAAAAGGGGAGGATCAACATCTCCCAAGGCTGCAGTTTTGAGCTATGTGCAAAGCCATGTGTTACATGAATGCAAATATGAATTTCCAAGGAAATTTGTATGAGCTCCAGAAGGATGCTCTGCTCTCTATCGCCTCTCAAGAATGCTGTCACTCCAAGAAAGAAGCAAATCCCTTCCAATAGATGGTATGCCTGCATACAGATAACATTGTTGAGCAGGTCATCTCATACCAAAGGACTACAGCAAGCGAGGAAAAAATGCACGAGCGGAACAAAACACACGTGGCTGAGGAACGAAACACATGCGGTCGAACCGGGGTTAAGAGAGATTTGTCTTACCTTCAACAATATCTCCCACAAGGTCATCGGTCGGCAGGTCATCAGCCACAAGCCGGTATAAATCCATCACCTGTTAACATGGGCAGGGGATGGCGAGAGTTAGGATATGTAACTGTGAGTTTAACCTCTAGGGTCAAACCCCATTTCTTAGTCTCCCCCCCCGTCTTTTCCTATGCATCGCTTGCACATGCAATCGTGAGTCCTGGGTGATTGCCAGCAGAGCTGCCCCTGGAGCACCTGGTCCATCAGCAGCAGACTCGCCCAAACCCCAACCCATGGACTTTCTCCCCACCCCCTCTCCTCTTCTTCCCCTGTCTCACCTCCTTAACATGCAGCCTTGAGTCCTGAGTGAACGCCAGCAGCAGCTGCCTCCGGAGCCTCGGGTGCATAAGCAGCACATGTGCGCACCCACCCGTCTCATATTGTCATCCCACCCTTCACACCCACCTCCTTCACATGCAGCCTGGAGTCCTGGGTGAACGCCAGCAGCAGCTGCCTCCTCAGTCCCGGGTCCATGAGCAGCACGCGCGCCCCGTCCCGAATCGTCTCCCTCAGGTCCAGACCGCCGTCCACCACCGCCGATGCTGCTGACGTGGCGGCTCTGGCTGGGCCTGTAGCGGAGAAGCCTGTAAGGAAGGCTGGGGCCGGAATCGGCAGGGCGAGCTGGCTGAGGCTCCTGCGGTTGGGGATGAGGGGGAGGGGAGGGGAGGGGGGGGAAGTGAGGGAGAGAAGGGAGGGTGAGGGGGAAGAAAAAATAATGTTTTTGTACTGGGAGCATGAATCGGCAGGGCGAGCTGGCTGAGGCTCCTGCGGTTGGGGATGAGCATGAGGGAGGGCGGGCGAGAAGGGCAAGGGGGAAGAGTGGCAGGGAAACAGCGGACACGACAGTTGAACACAGAGCACCAGACAACGAAGTAAGGGATTTGGTGGGATGGCACCAATGAGGCAACTCAGAAAAGTATAATAAGAATGATGATAACAGTAATATATCACCGTTTTTATGTGTACTATGCAATACGGTAAACAATCAATTGAAGAGAGTATTCACCCGAAAGAAGTGAAGTCAAGTGGGAAAAAGCATGAGCCGGGGACAACAGCTGCAGGTGCCGGTGTTGCTGCCGCTGCCGCTGCTACTGCCGTGACAGCTAACTCACACCGGCTCACAACTCACCCGAAGGAAGCGGGGTCAAGCGGGAAGAAGCGTGAGTTTGGAACAACAGCCGCCGGTGCCGGTGTTGCTGCCGCTGCTATCGCTGTGACAGTGCCGTCTGGGTGGCGTGCTCTGTTTGCTAGCGCCACTTGCTCCTTGGCCAGAGTGATCAGATTCTCCAAACGCTTCCACTGGAACACACCGTCCTTGAATAGCACCTGAGGGGAGGGGATAAGGGGGGGGGGAAAGGAGGAGAACAAAACGGAGGGATGGTGTGAGAATAGTGCACTCTCTCTTTCGATGCTCCCGCTGGAACACACCGTCCTTAAAGAGCACCTGGTTGTGTGTGCGGGAGAGAGAGGGAGTGAAGGGGAAGGCGAGCAGGGGAGAAAGAGTGAGAGTGTGGATCATACCTTGCTTTGGTTTCTCCAGACGCTTCCACTGTAACACACGCCGTCCTTGAATAGCACTTGTGTTGTATGTACTGGAGAGGGAGGGAGAGAGTGATGAAGAAGGTGCGGGAAATTTCGGTTCAGCAAGTGTTCTATCCACTCACCGTCTACCCAAGGCTTGGTGCGTGTTACACCATGTTTGAGAGGTTTCAGAAACGAGTGGAGTGGATGAGTGGAGCATCACGCATGTACCTGGATCAGCCAGGAGCGCAGTGCCGGATCAGGGTCGGTGAACAGACGTTTTGGTTTTGCCACGTACGGGTAGGCAGTGGCAGATGCAGATGCCCTCCTGGGTGAACAGTGAAGCAGTATAGAAGCAACTGGATGGGTGCAGCCCGTACACACCTGGATCAGCCGGGAGCGCAGAGCCGGGTCCGGGTCAGTACGCAGGCGTTTGGCCACGTAGGGGTAGGCAACCTCAAGGAACTTGAAGTTGGGTTCGAGGGAGAGGCAGATGCCCTGGTGGGTGAGCAGTGAAGCATTCTAGAAGCAGCGGGATGGGAGGAGGCTGTCTGTACACACCTGGATGAGTCAAAGCGCAGTGCTGGATCAGGGTCCGTCAGCAGGCGCTTGGCCACATAGGGGTAGGCCACCTCGAGGAACTTGAATTTGGGTTCGAGGGAGACGTGTCACACCCCAGGAACAGCGCAGCGAGTTGTGAGACGTGTCACACCCCAGGAACGGGAGAAGCATGTGCGTACCTGGATCAGCCGGGACCGAAGTGCCGGATCCCGGTCCGTACCGTAAGAAGACGTTTGGCCACGTAGGGGTAGGCCACTTCGAGGAACTTGAAGTTGGGCTCGAGGGAGAGGCAGATGCCCTCCTGGGTGAGCAGCAAGCGGATCTGCTCCTGGCAGATGCCCTCCACCACCGAGTACCTCCTAGAGCGTGTGTGTCACGTCACGACCCCAGAAAGCGAGGAGCAACATGAGCAACATGCGCGCGTACCTGGATGAGCCGAGAGCGCAGTGCCGGATCAGGGTAGGTGAGCAGGCGTTTCGCAACATAAGGGTAGGCGACCTCGAGGAACTTGAAGTTGGGCTCGAGGGAGAGACAGAAGCCCTCCTGGGTGAGCAGCGAGTCGTGAGACGTGTCGAAGCTATAGAACGCGAGGAGCAGCAAGTGCGTACCTGGATTAGTCGAGAGCGCAGTGCCGGGTCGGGATCAGTCAGCAGACGCTTGGCCACGTAGGGGTAGGCGACCTCTAGGAACTTGAAGTTGGGTTCGAGCGAGAGGCAGATGCCCTCCTGGGTGAGCAGCGAGCGGATCACGAGGGAGAAGCGCTCGGGAATGCGGATGGGGAAGTTGTACACCAGCTGGTTGAACTTGCCTGGACGGAGGGAGAAAGATTTGAGAAAAGGGGTGGAGTTGGAAGTTGGTGAAGTGGGTTAGGTTAGGAAAGACTTGGATGACGAGGGAGAAGCGCTGGTGGATGCGGACGGGGAAGTTGTAATCAAAGGTGGTTGAACTTCCCTGGCAGGTGGGAGTGAAGGGTCGATGGGGATGAGTGGGCGGAGCCAGGAACCCCAGGCAGGTGAAATCCGTCCCATCAAACACCACCCTTTCTCTTCCAACCCCCAACCCCTCTCCCTCCTCCCTCTCCCACTCACGTGTGACAGTTCTGAAGTTGAAATCCGCGAGGCTCTGCCCCGTGCTGTTCTGCCAGATGGCCTCTAATGCCGGCACGATGGGAGTCACATCCGTGCCGGGCGCCAGGAACCCCAGGCGGGTGAAATCCCCGGCCATCTCAACATAATCCTCGTTGACGGCATGCACGATGGCGTCGATGAGGATCTCCTTGTTGTACTGGCTCAGCTCCGCCACGTTGCCGAAATCCACATAGGCTATGCGCCCGTCCCTCATCGCGAAAATGTTGCCTGTGGGGGGGAAAGGGAGGGGGATGGGGCGGGGATGGAGGAGAGGGAGGAGAGGGAGGAGAGAGGGAGTGAAGATCCCTTGGTGGATGAAATCTGCAGCAGTTGCGGCATAGTCCTGACTCCTGGTGGTTGACAGTGTGCATGATGGCGTCTATGAGGATCTCCTTGTTGTACTGGCTCAGCTCCGCCACGTCGCCAAAGTCCACGTAGGCTATGCGGCCATCTCTCATCGCGAATATGTTGCCTGTGGGGGGGGGAGGGGAGGGGGAGGGGGACGAGGGAGAGTCAAGAGCCCCTGGCGGATGAATTTTGCAACCACCACATCACACTGCACTGCACGACACCACACCACACCACACCACACCGCACCCCACCCCACCAGTCCTCACCGCACCACACCACACCACACCACACCACACACCTGGGTGCGGGTCGCCGTGGAAGAGGCCGAACTCGAGCAGCTGGCGGAGGGCAGCGCTGACTCCCACCGTGAGGAACACCTCTGTGTCTATGCCCGCTGCTCGGATGGCCTGGCGTGGGGAGAGGGAGAGTCACAGGGACGGGAGGAACACACAAATGTGTTTGGAAGGAGATAGAGCAGCTGGCGGAGGGCAGCGCTGACTCCCACCGTGAGGAACACCTCCGTGTCTATGCCCGCTGCTCGGATCGCCTGGTGAGGGGAAGGGCACAGGCAAAGACGAGGTGCACGCGTGAGTTTCAGGTACAGGTTGACATAACAAACGGCAAACAAAAACAAAAAAAAAACAAAAACAAAAAACCATCCCGAACCCCACCGCAATGCCATTCCTCAACACCTAACCCCCACCCTCTATCCCTCCTCCTATCCCGCACCTGGGGGTCGGTGCAGCGTTTGCCATGAATCTACACTCCATCACCAGCACTCTCTGGCCGCTCATCTCCGCATGGCATAGCGGGATCTTGACCGTCGGATCTCCCAGAAAGTTCTCATAGGAGCTCTGGATGTTGCGGGCCTCCTGGCGGTAGTCGAGCTCCTCCAGCAGCTTCCTTCCTTCCCCGCACCAACCCTTCCCCACCCCTACCCTTACCCCCACCCCCATCCCCTACCCTTACCTCCACCTGTAATCCGCCCGCACCTGGGGGTCGGTGCAGCGAATGCCATCGATCCACTCCATCACCAGCACTCTCTCCCCGCTCATCTCCGCGTAGCACAGGGGAATCTTGACCGTCGGATCGCCCAGGAAGTTCTCATAGAAGCTCTGGATGTTGCGGGCCTCCTGGCGGTAGTCGAGCTCCTCCAGCAGCTTCTCCCCGAACTCGTCGACGATGAGCTCGGCATTGCACCCGAGCTTCTGAATGGAGATGCCGTTCAGGAAGGACGCCAGCGTACGGAAGAGGAATAGATCGCGGTAGATCACTGGTTCGATCCCCGGCCGCAGCACCTGGGGGGGTGGGGGAGGAGGAGGGGAGGGGGAGGGGGAGGGAGAGGGAGAGGGGGAAGGGGGGGGAGAAGGGGAGGAGGAGGAGGGGGAGGGGGAGGGGGATGGGGATGGTTGGGTGAAGGTGAGCTCCGCGTTGCACCCAAGCTTCTGGAGGGATATGCTGTTCAGGAAGGACGCCAGCGTGCGGAAGAGGAAGAGATCGCAGTAGATCACTGGCTCGATCCACGGCCGCAGCACCTGGGGGGGTGGGGGAGGAGGAGGGGAGGGGGAGGGGGAGGGGGAGGGGGAGGGGGAGGGGGAGGGGGAGAGGGAGGGGGATGGGGAGGAAAAGGTGAGCTCTGCGTTGCACCTGAGCTTCTGAATGCCGTTCAAAAAGGACGCCAGTGTGCGGAAGAGGAGGAGTTCCCGGTAGATCACCGGTTCGATTCCTGGCCGCACGCAGCACCTGGGGAAGGGGGAGGAGAGGGGGAGGGCAGGGAGGGCAGAGGATAGGAGCGGGGCGCTGGTGCATGAGCACTGAAGTGCCGCTCAGGAAGGAGGCGAGCGTGCGGAAGAGGAGCAGGTTCCAGTGGATCACCGGCTCGATCCCCGGGCGCAGCACCTGGGGGAGGAGATCGGAGGGGAGGGGAATTGGAAGGTGGGTTGTTTGGTGGCAGAAAATGGGCATGTGGAGGGTGGGGAAGCCACAAGCCTGCGGAAGAGGAACAAGTTCCAGTGGATCACCGGCTCAATCCCCGGCCGCAGCACGTGAAGGAGGGGGAGGGGTGAGGGGATGGGGCGGGGCCTCCCTCTTCCTGGTGGCCTCTTTTCTACACGGGACCATGAGCCATCAGATGCACAGGAAACGGATGGGGGATGGATGATTCTCTCTCTTACAAGCATTTCCAACGCCCACCCATACTGCATGCCAGCTAAATCATCATCCTCACCTTGACTGCCACCTCGGCTCCCGAGGCTCTCAGCCTGGCTCGGTAGACCTGCCCGAGGCTAGCCGCGGCAACAGGCTCGGGAGAGATGGCGCTGAAGGTCTCTTCCAGAGGCATCCCCATGTTGGCCTCGATGATGGCAAACGCTTCCTGGGGGAGGAGAGGGGGCGAAGCGGTGGGGTGAAGGGGCAGGTGGGTTCGGAAAGTGGTTGGCTGGTCAGCCGGTCAATATGAAGGTCTCCTCGAGCGGCACCCCCATGTTGGCCTCGATGATGGCAAACGCTTCCTGGGGGGAGGAAAGAGGGGGTGTAGGGGCGGGGGAGGGGAGGTGGGAAGGGAGCGTGGGAAAAAGGCTGGGTGGTCAGCCGGTACCTGGGCAGAGAAAAATGGCGCTGAAGGTCTCCCCTAAGGGCTAGAGGCACCCCCATGTTGGCCTCTATGATGGCAAACGCTTCCTGGGGGGAGGGTCAGGGGAATAAGGGCGGGGGGAGGACAGTTAGGTGGGGGAAGAGGGGGGGGATGGGAGGAAGGGCAGAGGGACGGCGAAGGCTTCTTGGGGATTGCTAGGGAGAAAGGGGAAGCGAGCAACTGGGAGTTGGGGTGGCCTGCTGGGGGATGGAGGAAGGGGATGCATGGCAGCTTGTAACCTGCTCCCCAGGCTGTGTCACCTGGGTGGGGGGGCTGCCTCACCTGAGTGGGGAAGGCAGGGACGTCGTCTTGAAGGATGCAGAGCTCGTTCATGTAGTCTTCCCGGATGATATCCGGCAGGTTCGCCAGCACCTGCCCCGACTTGATGAACGACAGGCCCAGGCGGCACAGCAGGCGGCGCAGCTGGCAGCTTTCAGGGCGGACTGCACAGCAGCTTGCACAGGCGTTTGAGAGCTGTTTCCCGGCAACGCTTGACCTGCGACCTGCCTCACCTGAGAGGGGAAGGCAGGGACGTCGTCTTGAAGGATGCAGAGCTCGTTCATGTAGTCTTCCCGGATGATATCCGGCCGGTTCGCCAGCACCTGCCCCGACTTGATGAACGATGGGCCCAGGCGGCACAGCAGGCGGCGCAGCTGGGCGGCGCGCGTCGGCACGTTGCGCTCGTCGAGGCCGACGAGCTTGTCGTAGGAGAGCGAGAGGAAGAACATGGTGAGCTCCCACACGATCTCCGTGCCTCGCAGCAGAATGCCCAGGAAGGCTGAGGGGGAACTGAAGGCGCGCGCTCGCACCTGGCAGGGAGGATAGGGGGAACAGGAACGGTGGGGGGGAAGGACGAGGCGAATGGGCCATGTGAAACCGTGAGGCATTGGAAACAAATGGAAAAGGCTTTCGAGACGTGTCAAAAATGGAGAAGGAGCAAGGGAGTTTTTTTCTTCCCCATCTCTTCATGTTTCTCCCCTCCCTCTCCTCTCTTTCCACCTACTCTCTACCCCCCTCTCCCTCTCCTCTAATCCGCTTCTCATTCTCCCCACTTCCCAATCTTCTTTCATCTCGCCTCCCCTACCTCTTTTCTTCCTTCTTCACACATATCTCCCTCTCGTTCCTCGCCTCGTTCTCCTCGCTCTCCTCGCTCTCCTCCCCTACTTCCCTCTGCTCCTTCTCCACCTGCTCCTCCCTCTCCCCACTCTCCTCCAATCCTGCAACCTAATCCCTGCTCCTCCTAGGGAGGCGTTGACCAGCGTTGACTCACCATTTCCGGCGTGTATTTCTTGAAAGGGTTACACACGCCTCGCTCCAGTTCCAGTTGCTCCATTGCCCGCATTTCCCCGCCGGACGGGTCGCCTGCAAGCTGATTGGGTAGGAATCCCGAGTCGCCAACCACCGTTGTTCGCAAAGACAACGGCTTCATTGCCACGTCAGCGGTGCTGCTGTTCATGCGGCTGCTGATTCGTCGCAGAGCGCGCGTCGCGGGACCCGTCGCGGCTCCGTTTCCACTGCGCATTGTTCCGTTACCGTTGCCGTTTACGTTTCTGCTGCGCGCCGAACCGTTTCCACTCCCGCTGCGCGCCGAGCCATTCCCGTTGCCATTCCGCGCTGCGGCGCCATTGCCGTTGCCATTGCCGCCTAACCGCGCACCGTTCTCCCGGGAACCGGCAGGACGCGGGGACGAGCTTCCCCCTCCCCCTGTGGTGGTTTGCGGAGGGCGTGACGTCACGGCAGCGCAGGGACGAGCGGGAAGCGCGGGAAAGCGGAGGCCCGGAGAGGGGGAGGTAGCGGGGAGAGGTCGGGGGAGTGAGGGAGCGTGGGGATGGAGAAAGAGAGAACTGCGGCTAGAGGAGAGGAGGTGGGGTGATGACGCCATGGCTGCGTTTTAGGCTGAAGCTATGAGTTAAGATGCTGGGATGCTTGGCGTATTGTCTTCAAAGAATATGAATAATGACGTCGACGTTGGCTGTGACTCTGCTTGTCGGGAGATACGGTGACGTTAGGCGACGTATGGCGACGTTAGCCGACGATTCGGAAGCAGAGTGCGACGAGAGCGAATCATACCAGGAAGACAATGCAGGAAAAGGACAACTGGCGACACTACGTCGAGGCTTGTGCCAGATTACTCCACAACCTTAGACGACGCGAGGCTCGGTTGTACAGTATGCGAGGGTGACGAAAGAGAGCCTGTGAACTCCAACAAGGCCTTTTCTAACAACCCTAGATATGTTGCAAGAGTGAATGGCCAATCACATCAACTCGTGCATTGGCCTGTTGACCCTTATTATCGTTGCAGAATCTTAAAAGTCCGAGGATAGAGCTGCAGCCACAGGGACGGAGGGTGAAGCTAATATAAGGAGTCAGGACGCTGTTGCAGCTTGAAAACCGTGTAAGGACTGAAACGCAGCTCAGCTCAGAGACATCCAGGAGACCGTCTTCCGATTAACGGCCTGAGAGAGCTAAGCTAACGTTCCGTCGACCGTCTTACGGGAAGGAGAAGGTACTGAGGGAGTAGTAATGTTCTTGATATTGTTGGAGATGAACTGTTGCCTCTCAAAGGAAAGCTCAGGAGTCAGGATTCCTGAATCTGACAGGTTGGACGAAAACGAGGACGAACGAACTTAGGTGTAACAAGAAATGGCTAGGCGAACTACATCAGCGAGTAGAATTCTGGCACGTCGACTCTAGTCTGAAGCTATTTTGCCGTTCTCGCAAAAGTACTTAGTGGACGCGGATGCGTGCAGTCAACGTGTTCGTTGTGGCTGTAAGATGCCGATGACAACGAACTGGGAGCAAAGTTCACGCTACGTGGCTGGCAGAACGTCCAGGAGCCTCGGGAGGAGCTGATGTGGCATACTCACGCGACCTCGCTGATTGGCATACGGACAGACTGTCGTCTTGGATGAAGTCCACAGGTTCGTGGATCAGATATGGTGCCGCCGTGCTTGCAGCGGAAGATTTGCCAAGAACCCCAGACGTTGGGCTAGTGTAGAAAATGAGGTGTAAATTAGAGGGTACAAGTATGTTGTGGATATTCTTCCAAACAACTACGATATAAGAAGGTCCACCTGTAAACAACGGACACATAGGAGGTATATTCAAGACAGTTGTAGTCAAACATACCGAGATGAAATCGCACCCGTCAAACTAAACTCCTTACTAGATTCTACCTCACAGAGGAACTCCCCCCCCCCCACCCCCCTCACCCTTCAACTACGGGTTTTGTAGGGTGTATCTACAAACGCGAGAACGAGAATCTCGTACTAGCTCTAGTTGGACATTTTGTTCACACCGGTTTGAAACAATTTTCCCGTGTCTTGCCCAAGAATGAACCGCTTCCGAGAATCCTGGGATATTCCGAGTTCCGTGAGTCTGGTTGGGACAGAGGTTAAGTGATTCAAAATACCCCGTTCGCTCTGAGCTTTTCTATTTCCCTTCTATGTACCGCCTCTCGTTTCTGCGACCAGTGGTTCCAGCCATCAACACTTGAGGGATGCCACCAAATTTCCACTCGGCAACAAATCGTGTTTAGTCAAACGAAGATTTGTCGCTATTGGGCAGCAATTTAGCACGTGAGTCCCCACAGAACGACAAGAATGTTTCAGATTCTAATCCTTTATTGTAGCTGACTCGTTATGAGCTGCAAAACAGACAAGACACCGCAGATTAACATCGACACGTTAACAAACACTCATTCAAAAACAGAATGTCGACAGCTGACCTCGGAAAACTGCCAAGGCATGTCGTTGATTTTTCACACTGCATATCGTTCTGCCATCCTTTCAATCATGGACCAATCGAATTCTTGTACTCGCTTTCCACGTGGCCGAGGTACCCTGGAGCTTTCTTTTTGGGCAGCGCGGAAATGGCGTCAAGTCGCATCTTCCCGCCAAAAGCAGCGCGCCATTCTCGCAGCGCTCTTGCGCTCCGTCCTTATCTCCATTCGCGAATCTGAAACAGTTTCAAACAATAAACGTCCACTTGAATTGACAGAAGGTGCACCAGCCGCGCTAAATAATCCCCTGTCACAGCCAACGAGAGCAGGACGCGTGGCGAACTCGCCGTTCGCTTCTGACGTGTACAAGGCTCTGCTGTCAGGCGAAGGGGACGAGGAAGAGGAAGAGAGGAGGGGTCAGGCAGGGGAAGGGGAGGGAAATCGGGAGGGGAAAAGAGAGTGGGTAGGAGGGGGGGAAAGAAAAGGGGAGGGCGAGGAAGAGGTAGGAAAGAACGTACTTTGTGTGAAAGACAGAAATACCTCTATCTCTCGCCTCCCTGCAATCTCCTTTCGTGGTGTACCGCGTCGCCCCCTTTACAAGCACGTGGCGGCCGCGCTCTTTCACTATTGTCACACAGGAGGCTTGCCCTCGGCCATGCTGACGTGTCAGGGAATGGAGGAGAAGGAGGGAAGGCGAGGGGAGGAGGTGGGCCGGTGGCATGGGACCGTTAAGGACGCTGGTGGCCGGCTTCTGGAGATTATAGAGAAGCTTTGTAACGAGTACAGCAATGTTAACGGTTCATGGAAGGGTATTAATGAATTTACAGATATTAATGATTTGGAGCAAATGGGGAAGCCGGAGGTGGGGGAGCAGAAGGAGGGGGGGCGGAAGGAGGGCGAGCAAAAGGAGTGGGGAATGGGGGAGAGGAAGGAGGGGCATATGGAGGAGCGGAAGTTGGGGGAGCGGAGGACTCACCAGCTCCATGTGCAGGCGGAATACCTGAAACAGCTCGCAGGTCTGGGGGGAGGGAGAAGGGGAAGGGGGGAAGGGGGAAGAGAGAAGGGGGAAGGAGGACGGGGGAAGCGAGGGGGAGGGGGAAAGGGGGGTAAGGGAGCAGGGGAAGAGAGGAGAGATAGAGGGGGGGATGAACAGACGAGGGGGCGAAGAAGTAGGAGCGGGGTGGGAAGAGGGGTGCTGGTTGGAAGAAGGAAGGAGGGACGCGACTGTTGGTGGTTGGAGGAGGGGAAGAAGGAAGGAGGAGGGGAGTGATTCTCAGAATGCGTGTGCATGGGATGGGGGGAACGGTGCATGATGGGAAGGTACTGTGGGTCGGGTTGGGTTGGGTTGGGCTGGGTTGGAAGGGGTGAGGGGAGCAGAGGGAAATCTCTACTGCAGGGGTGGAATAATACGGGCGCCTTTCTGTCTTCTTTCTCTCCCTTTGTTCCTGGTTGCATGACAGAGGGAGTCAAGAAGGTGGAGGGGCGATGCAACCTGCCTCCCTACAGCAGGTATGGCATGAGGGTTTTGAGACGTCTCAAGTTCTGAGAGTTTTGAGAGTTTTCAGAGGTTTGAGAGTTTTGAGAGTTTTGAGAGTTTTGAGAGTTGAGACAATTATGAGCCAAGAAGGAGAAGGGGCAATGCAACCGGCCGCCCTACACCAGGTAGGGCATGAGGGTTCCTCGGCCTGTGGTGTTAATGCTGGCAATCAACAACAGTTACTTGCCTGATAGCGAAAAAGCGAGCTGGTCCCCGTTTCAGCTTGCCTTGCCTCCCTCTGGCTCTCACAAAATAGCCTCCCATTCCCACTGCCGCCCTTCTTCCTCCTCCTCCTCCTCACCCTTCCCCCCACCTCTCCCTCCGCCTCCCAACCCCCTTCCCCCCCAGCATTATTGCAGGTGATTGCATCACATTCAATAACACCCTTACCCTCGCCGTTCAGGTGAGCTACAAGTCTCTTTTGAGAAGTCTTTCAAGTGGTTTTCGACCTTACAGCCACGACTGCCCCCTCCTCCCTCCACCCTTTTCCCCCTTGCTCCTCCCACCCTACCCCTTACCCTACCCTACCCCACCCTACCCCACCCGACCCCACCCTACCCCACCCTACCCCGCCCTACCTCACCCTACCCTACCCATTCCCAGTCCGTGCAGGCTTACCCCACCTTCACCCAAATGCTAACGTCTGAAGGACTCTCTGCCGTGCTTCCTGGAGCTGAGACGCTGGAGGAAGGTGAGACCAAGGTGCGAATAAGGTGTGAGGAAAGTGCGATGAAAGTGAGACGAAAGGTGAGAGGAAAGTGCGAGTGTAGGAGCAAGGGTATAAGCATCGGGGATGCAATGCAACAGCTGGGTAAAGACTGACCCGAGAGTGAAAGGGGACTGGGGAGGATTAGGGATTACAGAGTTAAAACCACATTTGATTGTGTCGTACTTTCACTTCCGTTTTTCAGGACTGGCAGTCTATCACAAGTTTTACTCAGAGGAGAAAGAGCATCGAGCAGGTGTGCTTGCATTGAGAGTGGAGCCCACTGTAACGGGGATGGGAGGAACAGAGGATTTTCAACAGCCGTGCGGGACTGGTGACGTGGATGGGAGACAAGCTGACGCGACCAGATCTCAAGCTGATGTGGCCGTGTGTCAAGCTGACGTGGTCATATGTCAAGCTGATGTAAAATCCCAGCTGGAGCCCCAACTGGCTTCGCTTATCCACCGAATCCTCGTTGTAAGCCTCCCTCCCTTCCTCCTCCAACCGTTTCCCCCCTTCCCCGTCACTGCACAACCCTCCCATTCTCACCTGGCCCCCTTCCCTGTCTCCTCCCAAATCCCTTATTTACACTCAACCGCCCACACTCACCCTTGGAAAGCCTTGGGTCCACCTGGCGTGAGCCTTAATTCCTCAAATGTCCTTACCACCTACTCGCTCCCCTCCCACACTTCCTGCATCTTCAAATCCCAAATCTCTCAAACCCCTAACTCACATTTATCCGCCCACACTCACTCCTGGCAGGCCGTGGGTCCACGTGGCGTGAGCCGATTGGTGGGGATGCGAGTGACTGAGGGGAGTGTGCTGACCGCCCTGCCTCCCTCTCGCTCTGCTCTCCTAGCGTCGTTCCAACAGCCTGTGAAAGGGGGAGTGAAGGGGAGGAAGGAGAAGAAGCAGCGGCAGAGAGAGCAGAGGCAGACAGTGCAGAGACATGATGAGAAGGAGAAGCAACAGGAGCAGAGGGGGCAGGGGCAGCAGGAACAGCAGGAACAGCAGGAGGAGCAGGAGCAGAAGCAGCAGCAGCAGCAGCAGAAGGAGCAGGAGGAGGAGCAGGACAAACAGGAACAGCAGCAGCAGGAGGAGCTGTCCAGGCTCATTGGATGTGCAGCAGAGAGTGCAGTGTGCTGCAGTTGCCAGGGCGATTCAGATGTGGGGTGTGAAGCGGTTCAATACAACAGAAGTTGGGTGTGTGAAGGTGCATGCAGTGGGGCATGCAGAGGTGCCACATACCTGCTTAAAAGGCTGTCGCATGTCACTTGCACGTGTGAAACAGCTCTAGACTTACATGCACAGGCGACTCTGGTGATGCCATGTGCTCGCAGAAGAGGAGCAGGAGGAGCAGGTGCAGGAGGAGAAGGAGAAGCAGGAGAAGCAGGAGGACAAGGATATTTTTTACATGGAGACCGGATGGCAGCAGCTCACGCACAGGGCACATATACACCTGCTAGCACCCAAGGCAAAGAACCGCCAGCTGGCTCACACGCAGGTGCATTGCTGCAACAAGCAGCTCAACCACCAGCAGTGCTGAAGCCCCATCCTCGTGCGCATGTGCAGCCGCTGACAGTGGGTGCGAGGGCTCTCTCTAAACACTGCCACCGGGGGAGAGACGGCTTCTGGGGCGATGCCTCTGGACCAGGTCGGTTGGTGCATTGCATGTGGACCAGGTCGGTTGGTGCATTGCATGTGGACCAGGTCGGTTGGTGCATTGCATGTGGACCAGGTCGGTTGGTGCATTGCATGTGGACCAGGTCGGTTGGTGCATTGCATGTGGACCAGGTCGGTTGGTGCATTGCATGTGGACCAGGTCGGTTGGTGCATTGCATGTGGGCCAGATCGGTTGGTGCATTGCATGTGGACCAGGTCGGTTGGTGCATTGCATGTGGACCAGGTCAGTTGGTCATTGCATGTGGACCAGGTCGGTTGGTGCATTGCATGTGGACCAGGTCGGTTGGTGCATTGCATGTGGACCAGGTCGGTTGGTGCATTGCATGTGGACCAGGTCGGTTGGTGCATTGCATGTGGACCAGGTCGGTTGGTGCATTGCATGTGGACCAGGTCGGTTGGTGCATTGCATGTGGACCAGGTCGGTTGGTGCATTGCATGTGGACCAGGTCGGTTGGTGCATTGCATGCTGTGGACCAGGTCGGTTGGTGCATTGCATGTGGACCAGGTCGGTTGGTGCATTGCATGTGGACCAGGTCAGTTGGTGCATTGCATGTGGACCAGGTCGGTTGGTGCGTTGTATTGCATGTGGACCAGGTCGGTTGGTGCGTTGCATGTGGACCAGGTTTGTGCTATTTTATTCGATCCGAGCTCTGTGAGGCACAAGGTGACTTTTGAGTCGACTCAAAAGTCACTTCGATCCGAGCTCTGTGAGGCATCGCAATCCATTCTGCCTGAGCTGTATCCATTTCCTCTGTCTGGCTGTCTGTCTCTGTGTCAACACCTTTTTTTTAGGCACCTAGAAATTCGCCTTTGTTAGCCCTGCTTTTCTCTCAAATAACAAATGATTCTACCACCCATTTGTTCCCCTCAGATGCAAGGAAGAACCAGCATGCCTTGCAGTGTGTTGCATCTGAGGCATTCAAAAACTACCACATGTGCCACTTACAACCTCTGCTACTCACTCGTTCTTTCCCCTTCAGATGCAAGGAAGAACCAGCATGCCTTGCAGTGTCTCACCAGCCTGTTAGACGGTGCCACGTGGATGAACATGCATGCCCTGCCACACGACCTGCCGGTGTTTGAAGTGCGGGGGAGCGAAGGGTACGGGGCGCGATGGAGTGCTGACGGCATGCAGGTGAGAAGAATTGACTAGCACAGACATGCAAGGGATTGAACTGTGAAGTTGCATGCCTTGCCACATGCCCTGCCACATGCCCTGCCACATGCCCTGCCACATGCCCTGCCACATGCCCTGCCACATGCCCTGCCACATGCCCTGCCGGTGTTTGAAGTGTGGGGGGGAGAAGCGTACAGGGCGAGATGGAGTGCAGATGGCTCCCATGTGGGAATAGTTGCTTAGACACCAACGTATCATTTGGATACCACCTGTATCATTGTCCCACCACACCCATCTCACCCATCCAACCCATGTGATGTCGCCCATCCCACCATGTGATGTCACCCATCCCACCATGTGATGTCACCCATCCCACCATGTGGTGTCACCCATCCCACCATGTGATGTCACCCATCCCATCCCTCCCATGTTCCCACCACCCACTCGAGACCGACAGTTTCGGGGGTTTCTCGAGCTGCAGATGCCGGATGGCCATGCAAGACGATGGAGACATTGACACGGCAAACGTCGTGATGTGGCAACACCGTGACGTGAACGAACTGACAAAACTGGCGAACTTTGTGTTACCCGTGAAATATGGTGGCGGAGGGATTTCGAGGGTTTAACTTGATGGAGGAGACATTGACACCACCCATGAACAGACTAGCTTGCAGATAAACTGAGCAAGCGAATTAACAAATGTGAGGGGGTTAATGATTCTCGAGCTTTTGGGAAGTTCGTACACTTTTTGTAGATAGTGTCGATTTCTGTTCATACCGCCGCGTTCGGCCTTGTAACGGGTTCGGATGGTTTCCTCGACGCTTCGCGCTTACGTGATGCCCCTCCACCGCCCTCTTCCCCCCCTCCTCTCCCCGCCAATTCGCGTCTCCCTCGCAACGCGGCTGTAGTGGAATCAGCGTGCCTTATAAAATTTGCCAGCGAGTCAGTTTCAAAAATAGACGTATCTCCCTCGCATCGCAACGCGGCTGAAAAAACAGCGTGCTATAGAAATTGATAGAGAGTCCGCCTCGTGCCTTGTCGCCTTCCCGTTTGCGAATTCTCGACGCTTCGACGCTCGTTTCCACACCCAGCCCGCTCGCGTTCCGTTATCGCCTCTCCGTGTTCTCCGCCTTTCCGCCTTCACCTTTTCGCCTTTGCCCTTGCGCGCACGCCGCTCCGCCTTCTCCGTTCTCCACACGCCTTTCTTCCTTTGACTTTCCGCACGCGCCTTCCCGCTCGCACCCTCTCCCGTCGCGCCTTCCCCTGCGCCTTCCCCCGCGCGCCTTTTCCCCGCGCGCCGTTCCCCGGCGCGCCATCATGGTCGCGTTTATCGTAGGCAACAGCCATCCCGCCATCCCCGTTTCCGCCATCCCCACTTCCAGAGATTACTCCGCCGGTTCCGCCGCCGTCACTGCCGCCACCGCCAGTGCCGCCGCAGTTTCCGTCAATTCTGCCGCCTCCGCAACCTGCGGCTGCGCAAGCAGGTCGTGCAAGCCGACAAATTTAGACCGAACGGATGGAGAGCAGGTTTCGAATCCTAGCCGTCCGACCACTTGTTGTAGAACCGACGGTCGAGATGTAGCTAAACGGACGGAGCTGATTCCAGGCTTGCCTGATGACGTGGCAGTAAAATGCCTCGCGCGAGTGTTGATCGTCTGCCACCACAGGTGCGGTGCCCTTCCCCTGTATCTACGTTGATTGAACTTATGAGAATTCTCAAAGGTTCAATCAACGTATGCCACCACAGGTGCGTCTCTTTCACCCTTTCCTCCTCTGCCTCCTCGCCCACCTCCTCTCCCCTTTCCCCGCTCCTCTGCCCTTCCCTTCTCCTCCTTGAATTCTCCCCCCTCCTCCCCTTCCCCCCCCCCCCCCCCCCCCTTCCCGCACCTCTCGTCTCTCCTTTATCCTCACCTCTTCTCCTGCTTCTCCCCTTTCCCCCTCTCCCGGCGCAAGGTGCTAGGCCGTCTTCCACGCATGGCGACTTTTGAGGCGCCGCAAAAGCTGTCTTCCGTGCATGGCACGCTCTCTTCTCTCCTCTTTCCACCTGCTCTGTCAGCTCATGTCTTCCTTTGCTCTCCTCCTTCTTCTCCCTCTCCGCCCTCTCCCCCCCATTACAGCTGCAGGGCTGTATCCCGCACGTGGCACGCTCTCTTCTCATCGCCGCTCCTCTTTTCCGCCCGGCGAATCGAGGGGCGGCAGGAGCAGCTGCTCGCGCTCTTCCACGGCGATCCCTCTGTTTCGGGTGGCTGGCTGCTGCACCAATCACAGCGCGACACCTGTCCCACATCCAACCAATCACAACTCACAGGTCCCTCACCCTCATCCAACCAATCACGCAGCGCCACGTGGCGCCGCCGGCGCATCCCTCCCATGACCCCCACACTCAACACCTACGGGCTGTCGGGGTTCGGCCTGGCTGCTGCTGACACGTGTCTCTTTCTGATTGGCGGAACAGTTTTCGACGCCACCGCCTATCCATCCGATCGACCCGTACCCACGTCCGGAGTGTTCTCGTTTGATTCTATCTCCAACCAGTGGCGCCAGTGTGCTTCTATGGCTCAGCCTCGAGCCTCTTTTGCCGCTGCCTCCCTCCCTTCTCATCCTCCTCGCCTTTCTTCCAACATCAACAGCAGCAGCAGCGGCGGCGGCGGCAGCTGCAGCAGCAGCAGGAACAGCAAAATTACAGGTTTGTCGGTTAGTAGGGTTGGCGGATCAGTGGTGGCAGGGGAAATGGAGTGCACGGGAAGTAGGGGAGCGGTTCTAGTGGCAGGGGGGGAGTCACAGCCCGGCCCCTGCCATGGCTGGCAGCCGCTGAGTGGTATGACGTGGCAAGTGACACGTGGCATCCTCTCCCGCCACTGCCAGAGGCCAGAGGGGGTTGTGTGGGTGCACTTGTGTCTTTGTCTGCTGGCGACTGTGACAGTAGGGGGGGCAGAGGTGACAGCGGCAGGGGCAGGTGTGACAGCAGGGGGGGCCAATGTGACAGTACCAAGGGTAAGTGTGACAATAGCAGGGGTAGCTGCAGGGGGGAGTGCTGCAGCGGCAGCGAGAATAACACGATGATGGCGGTCGTGGGAGGGTTTGGTTCGGAACTTGACTGGCAGGTACCAGCAGGAGTGGTGGGTGCTGCGGCTCCGGTCCGGCAAATCCGAGCCTTCCTCCCCTCCGCTCGTGCATGGGTCTCAAACCCCTCCAACACCTCAAATCCATCAGACGTTTCAAATCCGTCAAACGCGGCAATGCTGAATTCAAACCCTGCAGCAGCTGCTAGTGGTGAGCAGGTTTCGACACTGTCGTCAGCTGCTGGTGAGTCTGGGTTGAACCTCGCAGCACCAGCAGCAGCAGCAGCAGCAGCAGCAGCAGCAGCAGCAGAGGCGGTGAGGGGGGTGTGCTTGCCGGTGGAGCGGCGCACTGCAGGCCCGGTGGCAGTGCTGCAAGGGCGCCTGTACATGCTCGCTGGTAACACCCTCCTCCGCCTCGGGCCCGCCTCGGACATCCCTCACATCACGATTACCACCATCACCACCACTAGCACCACCAGCAGCAGCACCTCCACCACCACCAGCACCAACAGCAGCACCGCCAACAGCAGCAGTGCCAACAGCAGCAGTGCCGGCAACAGCGGCGGCGGTGGCAGCAGCACTGGAAACAGTAGCAGCAGCAGCAGCAGCAGCAGCCATCCGAAGCAACAGCAGCAAGCTATGCCGTGGGTATGGCACCGAGTCACCACCCTGCCGTTCGCCGACCCACAGCGGGGTTCTTTGCTCTTAACAGCGAGCTCTTTGTCGTCCCCACCACTCACTCCCTCTTTGGTTGCGGCCGGTCCAGGCGCCTTCCCCCCCAGCAGCACGCCTACTGCCCCAGGACTAACACGTGGAGGACTGAACCGCTGGTTGCTGTGCTTCAAGGGGTGAGGATGGATGGCCGGGGAGGGGCAGGAGGAGCAGGGGGAGCAGCAGGAGGAGGAGGGGTTGGAGGAAGGGAGCTGCTGAAGACGGCTGTAGTGATGTGCATGTAGGCAGCGCTTGCTCACAGACCCCACAGCTGAATTCTTAATGGGTATGGCATCGAGTCACCACCCTCCCATTTGCCGACCCCACAGCGGGGTTCTTTGCCCTCATCAGCGAGCTCTTTGTCGTCCCCACCACTCACTTCCGCTTTGGTTGCAGCCGTTCCAGCCGCCTCTTGCGCAGCTCGCTTCATTCACGCCGCGGCAGCAATCTGGTCCAGAAGCACCCCGCCACGAGGCGCACGTGGCGCACCAACACGTGGCGCACTGAGCCGCTGGTTGCGGTGCTTCAGGGGGTTAGGATGGATGGCCGGGGAGGGGGAGGGGGAGGGGGAGGGGGAGGGAGAGGGGGAGGGGGAGGGAGAGGGGGAGGGGGGAGGGGGAGGAGGAGGCGGAGGAGGGGTTAGAGGTAGGGATTTGGGGACGGCTTTGGTGATGTGCATGTAGGCAGATGATTAGTCAACACGTGATTAGTCACACCACCAACAACACCCGCAGACCATTTGCCATCATTTAATACGGTAGATGCTGTGTACATACTACATACCTCAAAGTGCAAGTCTTTCTTTCCCTATAAAGCTGTGCTGATTTGCTGTTGGCTGGCTTGGTTGCAAGTGCCCTAGATATCAGACTTTTTACGTTGATTCAGCGTCCATTCAGACATTTTTTAGGTACCAGGTCTGAACTGTAAGTTTTTTTTAATGTACCTTCTCTGATTCGTCAGAGTTTTTTTTTATGTAGTGGCTGAAATTTCAGACAAAATGTAGGGGTGTAAGCTGAGCCTCAGCCACGTTTCGGGGGTGCACTCTGAAACGGGTACTGCAGGGGTCCGCCAGCCTGGCGGCATGTTTGCACTAACACCGTCAATCACGGGCGGGAAACGGAACATTTCCCAAGCGCGGCACCGCACCGCACAGTCGCGTTGGGCCAGGGATGCTGTAATCTGGCTCAATTCCAGCCAATCGCTGCAGCGCAGCAGGCAGTGTTGGCAAGATTCCCTGCCAACGCATAGCTTGCACCCGGACAACACCACAACCACCCACCCCCCTCCACCATCCACCGTGCCAACGCATAGCTCGCAGCACGCTGCAGCTCTCACGTGACCACATCCATCCACCCCAGTCACCCCACCTTCCCTGCACCCACGACCAGGTGCCGTGCATGCAGTGCAGTGACCAGCAGGGAGATGAGCGGTCCAAATACGAGGACCCCTCATCTTCCTCATCATCGCCCTTCGTGGGGGTCACTCCGTGCCCTGACTCTCTCGCTTCATTCAATTTCTTCGCCAGATAGTATTGCTGGAACCCTTGTTTCTGACTCTCCCTCGCTCTCGCAAAACCAGTGCTCGGCAGACTCATGGCAGCCACAGGCGCTGCCGCCGAATCGCCCGACGATGATGACGAGACAGATCGACGGCCTGCGTCAGACGCAGTGACCGGCCTGGACTTTCTACGAGCATGCTTGCCGACGCATGTCCCACCGACTACTCCACCGTCGCAACCTAGCTCTAGCCGTCCTCCAGTTTCCGTTCAACCTGAACCTGTCCCCACAGCCGTCACTGAACCGGTCGAAGCTGCGCCACAGTCTGTGCCCAATGAGGCGTCCGCTGAAGCACCATCCCGTCCCGCACCACCGTCGAAGCTGCGTTACCGTCAGACCACGTTTCCGTGGGCAACTCCTCCTCCTCCATCGACCGTTGAAGCTCCAGCGAGAGTCGAATCTCCCATGCAGGGCAGCTCAAAGCCCACCGACAAGTCTGACTCCGATAAGTTGGAGTTGAAATACGAAGAAGCACACTTTCGTTTTAAAACAAAGTGGTCTACCGATTATGACTGGCTTATTCTAACTAAAACCTCTACCGGTGCCCCAAGTTTTAAGTGCAGCATTTGCCTGGAGTTTGCAGGACTTAGAGGCAAGTGTGGACGGGGTGGTGAGGGCGCGACCGACGTGCAGACGCAGGCCTTCAAGAAGCATGAAGGCACGGTGAAGCATCGTTTTGCACTGAAGCGGCAGGAGGACCTCCTCCAGAAGTATGGCGATCAACATCGCATCGACCTACACCCGAAAGCGCAGGACAAGGAGATGTTGCAGATTTCAGCGCTAGTGGAGTCGCTGTACTTCATGAGCTCGTGCAACGAGTCCATGGACTCTTGGATTCGGCTTGTGCGCTATCTCGCGAAGAAGAAGGTGCCCGGCTTTCCAGAGCAGGGCTACGGCACGTACTACAACACGTAAGTTTCTTGCGGTTGTAACCGCCGAAACGTTGATTTCTTCTAACTCACAGTCGCTAACTGCCTCTGGTCTTGTTTTTTTTATACAAGGTATGGCTTCGGAGAGTTAACACAGGCAATTTCAACATGGCTCCAAACAACACAGCTGGAACACCTTCTGACGAGCCCCTTCATCGGGATCACCCTTGGACGAGAGCACAGACCGGCGGCGCGGCAAACACATGATCGTGTTTGCAACCTTCCTGCATGACAAGCAAGTTGTGACAGAGTTCTTTGCTCACCTCACGGTTGAGAAAGCTGACGCTGCATCCCTGTGTAGTTTGCTGCTCTCCCACATCAGGGCTGTCGGCGTGGACCTCCGCCGTATTTCGGGAGTGAGCACGGACGGCGCGATGGTGATGGTGGGAGTCCACACCGATGTGGTGGCTCGTCTTCGGATGCTCATCCCCAACCTGGTTTTGTTCCACTGCATCGCTCACAGGTGCGTTGTCGTTGTTTTAATTGTTTGTTTAGTCGTTTAACAGTAACATACGATGCTAATCATGCTTGTTTGTTACGTCTTGCAGGGAGGCATTGGCTGCCAAAGCCGCTGCAGAGTCTATACCCACTTTCAACATGGTGGACGACGTCATCCGTGCTGTCGCTGAGTACCTGGGGCGATCATCACCGTGGAATCAACGGTTCATGGAGCTGCAAGGAGATATTTACCTCCTCCAACCTCGAGGTGCAGGGGATCCACGAGGTGCGGTGGCTTTCAAGGGTGCTGCGGTCGCCCGCTTCGTCAAGGTCCTCCCAACCATCATGGTGAATGCTGTCAGAGTGGAAGGACTAGACGATGTACGAGCTCGTCACGTCCTACCGGTTTCAGTTTCTGCTTCGGTTCCTTGCGGACGTTCTGGACCTCCTCAACATCCTCTCGAAGGTTTTCCAGCATCGTGAGGTAAGAAGGTTGGTAATCTTGTGTTTATTTTAGCCGGAAACCTGCTCAACTAAAACTTCGTTATGATGTGGCAGCTCGAACTACCCATTGGTGCACACACAGATTGTGCGCACAAACATCTCTCCTGGAGAGTCGGTACATCGACTGCGGAGATGACTTCGGCGGCGGGCATAACGAGCGGCTTCATCGATTCATCGAGAAGCATGGGCCGCAGGGGACACCAGAGATGGTGGTGGAAGGTGTGTTGTTGGATGGGAGTCTCAACCGCTTCAAGATCACCCTTCACGAGCGCCAAGTGGCGAACTATCTCGGGCGGGGCATCACGATGCGTGTGTGGCGCTCTGCACTGACTTTGCCGAGGGCCTCGTCGAGGAGCTTCAGTCTAAGCTCAGAGACCTCGACTCTCTGTCTGGCGTGCGGCTATTCATACCTGACGAGTGGCCTCCGAATTGGGATAGGAGTGCACGGCAGGCACAGTGCCTTGAGTGGCTGTTGTTGCTAGTCACTCTGTTCCGCGCCGACGACTGCGAAGAGATTTTGCTAGGTCAGTTAGTGAAGTGATGCTCGTTCGACTGATGGCTAAACCGTTCCGTACTAATCCCTCGCTGTGTCCTATGTTGCAGGCATTGACAAGAAGCGTGCCGTGAAGGAGCTGCGACTCTGTGCCCAGTCCTGGCCAGAGCCCCTAAGAGCGAGCGCAAGTTCAACACGTGATTGACTGCAATCCTCAAGACACATGACTGGGAGCAAGCCTACCCCAACCTCGTCACTCTGGGTGGCGGTTGCAGTGCTGCCTCTAAGCACCGTCGAGTGCGAGAGAGGATTCTCTCGTCAGAATCTCATCAAGACGTGGCAGAGGGGTAGTTTAAAAGACTGTAGGCTCAGTGACTTGCTGTGTATGTTTATGCTAGACTATGAACTGGACGTGCCGGGGATTGTAGAGATCTGGCGCAGCTATAAGAAACGCCGGCCAGTGACGGGACCTGCTGCAAGACACATGGAGCCCCAGAGCTGGGAAGGAGGCTGCAGAGGAGCCAATAGTTCAGCCGGCGCTGGAGTAGTGTCACATGGGATAGAATCTGATTCAGATAGTTGAAGTGTTTTCAATGTATATTAAACTGGCAGCCTACAAACTTAGTGTAACTCTGAACTTACAGCCAAAAAAAAATAGTGTAGTTATGACTTTCAGACTTCATATTGCATGCAAGTCTGACTGACAGAGTTTAGATGAGGGTGTACTCTGACCCAACAGCGTGTCCTAAAACGATCTAGGGCCCTGCAAGGCTTGCTAGATGCACATTCGCCCGTCCCTTTCCCAGTCAGACACCCTGTAACCAAGCATGCTCTGATAC